TGTGTTGTATCTTACCACAATTTTTAAAGCATCAAGAAGATGAAGGGTAAAAAAAAAAAAAAAAAAAAAAAAAATCTCAGGTCATTAAAAAAAGGCATCTATTTTTTTTTTTTTTTTTTTTTTGCAAAGAACAGTTGCTCTATCCAGAGGCCAAAACAGAGGAGACAGGGATCACCAGGGGTAATCAAATCAAGAGGCCAGTATCCATCAATATAGGGAGGCTACTTGGGATAACGGTAGGATATAGTGGTGGTGAGACCATGATGTGATGAAGCCTGCAGTTCATAGCCTGACACTTTCACTGGATGAAGAGGAATAGAGACACAAATATCTTCATTCTAGAAAGTGTGAGCTTCCATGCAGTAGTAGTTCATTCAATTTTTTATGCCTATGGGTGCTTTGTCTGCATGTATGTCTGTATCATGGAAGCCAGAGGAGGGTGTTGGAGCCCCTGGAACTGTATTTATAGAGACGTTGTGAGCTGCCTTGTGGGTGCTGGGGATTGAACCCATGTCCCCTAGAAGAACAGCCAGTGCTCTTTACCTCTGAGCCATCTCTCCAGCCAAGTTCCTTCATTTATTAGGGCAGGTTAATACAGCATTTCTCATCTTTGGAATAAGCTCCGTGCATGTGTAGTAACCCCCAGGACTGTGGTGAGTCTGGGGGACAAGGGCCACTGCAGATGTGAAACTCTACCTGCAGGGATATAATAATGGCCTTATCCCTCATCTGAAGAACCAAGGCAGGTAAACTCCCCCCGTGGTGCTCAGCGGTGGGTTCTGTGCTGAGGATCAAGCACGTAGGGTAGAACAGACAGAGTGGGTGATCCTAAAAAAGAGACAGATCACGGAGAGCTGGGTAGAGGATGTCATTCTGCATGTGTGTAGACATGCCATGCTGGCTGCAAAGGGGGTGTGTAAGAAAGGGAGGAGTGCAAGGAAACCGGAAGACGGTAGCTAGGTGGCCAGTGAGGAATCCATGTAGTCCCAGAGAAAGATTGCATCTGGCCATGCTTTGGAAGAGCAGCACACAAAGGGTCAGAGGAAAGGACATCCATTTTGGACAACCGAGGTAGAGATTCCCTGGAGGAAAGCCTCCTGTCCCTCACAAAGGGAGTCTGAGCATCCTTTAGGAAACAGGATATGAATAGTAGTTGAGCCTGGTGGGATTCCTAACCGTCAAGGAGACTCTTTTATCTCACACACCGACATCCTAGGGAGGCTTGTAGAGGCCAGAAAGGTAGGAGTCATTAGTGAACTGCCCCAGATGGAAAGTGTCCCAAAGGAACATCGTGTTCTTCACGCTTTCTGTGATGGGCACTCATTTTTCTCCCGGAAGATCCTCTGTCGTTTATCTAGAACATCTGTGCTCTAGCTGCCAACCAAGCCCATAAAGGGGAACAGAGGAACAACCTCCCCCAGAGGTCAAAGCGAGTCACCAACACTAATGTTGATTTTGCTCCTTTAGTATCTTCTCCTCAGATCTCATTGCATTGCCTCACCAGAATCTAGGACCAAAAAGGCTAGCCCAGCCCCGACTCCCTTCTCTTTGCCCCTTCTACATAAGTTAGAAGTTTGGATTTTTTAAACTTGTTTTTTACATTGCACAAGTTAGATTCAGCCTCTGGACCAGCAGCTCATTGACTCCAGTTGAACTTGTGTATGGAAGAAGGAATTTGCTTACTCCATGTTCTTTTTGGGGGGTTCTGCGAGAGCCCTGTGGACAGATGTGCAAACAGTGCATTTGGGGGGCTTGTGTTTGCCCATCCAGTTCTGATCACTATCGAAGTTCTGTTCTTCTATGCTAAACTAAAACCACATGGCATTAGAATCAATGGATCTGCCTGCCCCGTATCTTTTCAAATTGTGTACTGTATGTGAACAAAGCCACTGTCTGAGAAGTGAGGCCTGTCTCTAGTCTATAAAGGGGACTTTGCCCGTGGTATGCGCCACATTGTAAAGCAGGCAAGCCATGCCTTTTGACACCAGGCCTCCTGTGATCGCTTTCCTCCACACCACATGGCTTCTCCTCCCGTATCTGTGTGCTTGGATACCCTTGCTTTCCTCACATCCCCAGTAGCAAGCATCAGGAAAGGCTTTTGTCCATCTCAGGATGGTATGCAGTATCACCCTGATATGCAGTATCACCCTGATACACTGATGCTTAGGTACCACCCTGATACACTGACACTTAGCTAAAACACCTGGAAATCTGCAAAATAGACATTCCAGAATCCAAGGGATAGGAGAGGGCAAGTTCTCATGAAATACCACTTTCTCATGATTGGGTGACATTGTGTTACTGATGGTACTATAAATTAAAAAAAAAAAAAAAAACCAACAGATTTATTTACTTTATTATTTTGTGTGTATGAGTGTTTTGCAAGTGTGTGTGTGTGTGTGTGTGTTCATCACGTGTGTGCCTGGTGGCCATGAAGGTCAGAAGAGAGCATTGGATGCTCTGGAACTGAATTTACAGACAGTTGTGAATTACAGAGCCCTGCCATCTGGGTACTGGGATCCAAACCCAGGTCCTCTGCAGGGCAGCCGGTGCTTCTCACCGAGTCATCTCTCTAGTCTCCCTAAGAGTTTTTCTAAAAGCCCATTGCTTGTTTTTCACGCTTGTCTCCATACACCCTGGGTTTGATTGTTTTCTCTTCCTTTGGGCTTCAGTACGTTTTGAACTCTGTCTAGTCAATCATTAAACATGAGTTGGTCAAGAATAAATTGCCAAAGCATTGTGCAGGATCAAGTAGACAAGACTTGCATGTGCCACCATGTAGAATGTTTCTCTAAAAGGGAACTTTGCTCCCCTGCAAAAGAGCTTTCAAATACAGTGTAAAGCATCCTGCTAAGTTAATTTAGTTATATAGAATGATGAAAGGAGTGAAGAATATGCCATCCCAGAATACACTTAGTTGGCCAGTTGATTGTTTTAAGGCGCAATCAGCTGAAAATTTCGTAACTTCAAGAGGGGACCACTGAGTCTGTCTTACCTACAACAGGCCATATAGATTCTCTTGGAGAATCACCTTGGTATTAAGAGATTGGTCGCTGGGGCTACACTGAACCTGTGTAAAGCTCTGAGGTAGCTAGCCTTCGTTTCCCCCCAGCTTCTGCATCTGCAACCCCATCTTTGACTTTATCTGTTGTTAATAATATCTCTCAAAGTTACTGACCTGGCTGAATGATCTGTTTGTCCTTACATTCTTTCACAAAGTTATTGATGTCTAAAACTACTGTGCTATGGGCATCTCTTTGGTTTTTGTTCTTCTGTAAATATCCCCATGTCTGCATAAAACTAATAAAAATGGTAATATTTTTCTCATGTTAATTGGCTACATATTAATTGGGTCTCTAGATCCAACCAGAGTGTCCAGGTAAGGACCAAGGAGGGAGACAGAGAAAATTTCTCCTCTGCATGGCACAGTGAGGCTTTGAATTTATCTAAGTTTTTGTTTGTTTTTTGAGACAGGGGTTCTCTGTGTGGCCTTGGCTGTCCTGGAACTCACTGAGATCTGCCTGCCTCTGCCTCCCAAGTGCTGGGATTAAAAGTGTGTGTACCACTGCCTGTTGTATTTATTTAATTTTTAAATGTAACAAAATGCCACAGTAAGCTAGTTATGGGGGCAGGGGCAGTGTTAGAAGAAAACCATAAGAATATACTTATGTCTTGAGAGTTTTTAAAGTAAAAATTAGTATGAACAATAAAGCTTCAGATCTCGTGCACACAAGATTATTGAGGGAGACACGTTGATTGACAATATCACCGAGTTCTCATCCCTGAGTGAAAGAATTGAGTGTAGCCTTAGCTGGCTAGCTAGAGAAAGCCACAGCTCACATAGAGGACTAAGAGCTCATAAAGGACTACTGACATTTACTCTTCATATTCAGTCTTCTTCTAATGGCAGATGACAACTTAGTGCACATTTATCCCACCTTCCTTCTGAAGATTTATGCAGAGAATTTATATACATCATGGACTTTTCTGTTGTCACTGGCTTCTCTAAATAACACATGACTTCCAGTAAGTCATCACAGTGAGGACAGCTTGGTATGATGTGTAGAGATGCCTCACTAAAAGAAGATGCTCAACTGCTTTTCCACATGGGTGGAATCAGGCAGCCTATATTTTCAACTGAATTGTCTAGGGTTTGTTTATATTTGGAAATAGATTTGAAAAAAAACTTTAGTAATAACCTATTTATAGATACGTGCTTTTGTCTCTATAATTTTAATCTATCCAAGAAAATTTGAAATACAAAGTTATATGAACTAAGCCTTACTTTGAACTAAAAATTTAGATTAACTTTTCAATTTAATAACAAAAACGATGTTTTATTATTACATCATTCAGTAGAAATATTTTTAATTTAGTGACTGGCTTATTTTAGCCTCCTGTCAAAAAACAAAAACCATTTCAGACACCAAGTTTACTATTTCAAATGCAATGTAGACAAGTGGTTTGTCACGACCCACTGAGACTTTGTGTATCTTCTGCCCTGGTTCCTTTCTGTTGTAAGAAACAATATGACCAAAGGAAGGAAGGGAAGGGGTTATTTCAGTCACTTACACTTCCAGTCCACAGTCTCTCACTGAAGGAAGTCAAGGCAGGAACTGGAAGCGAAAACCATTGGAAATGAGGCTTGCTAGCTTGCTCTCTGGTTCAGGAGCTTATGGTCAGCTAGTCTTCTAATGTAGCCTAGACCCACCCACCTAGGAATGCCGTTGCCCATATTGAGCTGGACCCTCTTACATCAATTAATAATCAGGACAACCCAACCCCATCAGCCAATCTGATCTAGCAAAGTCCTTACACGACGCTGTCCTTTTCAGTGACTCTCGGCTGTGTCCAGTTGGTAGAGCTAACTAGGACATTACCGTGAATCATTTTCTCTGTGGTTCACAAGGCATGACAAGAGTATTATAGCCAAGTAGTCTGGGCAAAAATAAATAAATAAAAATCATATGTTCTAGTGCAAACACAATTCAAACAAAAACTTACTTTGCACTTTACAAACTTTATTAAATAATGGGCATTACTAACTTTCATTGTCTTATATACAGTATTTAAACTATGTTTTCCAAGATGCATTGCTTTCCCCACAAAGAAAAAAAGTAGGTGAAAAGTGAACTTATATATATATATATAAAATTGGAACCTTCAGTACAGCAATCCAGTAAGAACTTTTAATTACATAAATTCCCCCCCAAGTATATACATTGCCACCCCACCTGCAAAAAAACTATTTTAAACAAAAGCACTGAATTGATAACATTGAGAGAGCATCTGAGCATGTACACACAGACAGACACACAGATGTACATGAACACACGTGTACACGCACACGCACGTGCGCATACACACACACGCACACACACACGGCTCTCAAAGTCTGCAGCATGGCCCACGGAGGTTATCATTAAAACTACAGATTTATCCTAGAACCCATAGGACTGCATACATAGACATTTTGTACACTATCACATCCACCTTTGTAGATGACAGCAAACCATGCATCAAAACATTGGTGTGAAAAATTAATAATATCTGAGACTCAGACAGAACAGTAACCTGGACTATATTAGAATGTGAGTCATATAGGCTACACAAAAGCAAAAACAAAACAGGAAGCTACACCCTTGAGCAAGGATCAAGTGACTTTAAAACACACACACACACAAACAAAAACAAACAAACAAAAAACAAAGACACAAACAAAAACAAGTGATACAAATGCATTTCTACACAAATTCCAGCAAACTCTAAGAACAGAGTTCTCATCTTTTCTGCTGTTGCTTTATCTGGAAAACTAACGTCATGCCTAAATAAAAGCAATGGAAAAAGGAATGTTTTCAGAACCACTTAACTCAGTGCTGGAGATGACCCAGGGCCTGGGAGCATGAGGCGAGGGCTCTACCACCAAGTATCACCTTCAATCCCAATTGTTTTGGTAACTACAGGACAAGAAACGCAAAGCAACACCACCACCATAGGATCTTATTTGTAACATAAGGATGGTCACATTTTTATGTTGCACAGTTGAAGGTAAAGGGGGATAGGAGTTAAAGGAGGGAAAGAATTATGGGAAGCTGGGAGTGATCCTTTATTACTGCTTACCATTAATGATGGGCCTGGCGTCTTTCCCTACAGTTCCTGCTTTCATCTTTTTCAACGGAACCGATTGCTTAATTCAAACAAAGACATAAGTTAAAAATGGAAAGTGAGAGGGTGAGGAAAGGCTCCAGAATGTTCCACTGTGTAAAATGAGAACACAAAGGGTACTATGAGGTAAAAGTCCAGCTATATTTGTGGAGCCTTCATTAAAACGCCTTTTTGAAGTAGCAATGCCTGTGTCTTCATTTCTCTGCATCTTTCATTCTTATCTACAGGGAGTTGGATAGGTGTGCTATCACAGTGAAATGCTGTATAAAACTACAACTGCAATGTAAAGGAAGTTACTAGCCAGAACCTAGCAATCAGAGGCTCAGTTCTCTATGTTCCAAAACTCTGAAAGAGGCCCTATGTCACGAACTATTTAGAAACTAAACTCTAGCCCATATCTGTGGCAAAGACTTTTCAAGCAGAGCATTCAGTCCATAGCTCAAGAAACTGCCTGTGAAGAACAGCTCTAGATAGGCCATTTGAATGCATTTTGTCTTATTTTAACTGAGGATTTACTCTGTATTGATAAGAGACAGGCATATATAGTAGTATAGAGGGATGTTTGGATTGTTGGATTTATTTTTTGGGGAAGCAATTCTCTCTTCAGTCGTAACATGAAGACATAATCAGACTGTTTCCAGAAATCTCCCCTATCTTATCTAATAATTAAGTTGGCTTGCATTCTTTTGAGTTTGGATTTTTTTTAAGCCATTAAAGAATTAGTTTATTTCACCCCATAAATTATAGACTTAACCATACTTAGTGGTACACCAGCTGGACCTTGTCTAGGAATACAGCTAAAGATTTTTATTTTTCTAACAGTCAGTTGGTCCTAGGGCTACATTTTAGGTTTTTCAATAGTCACGTCGTGTTGACATCTAATGAAATGGGATAGGAACACCAGTGTGGGAACCTTAAAATACGTGATGAGACTATATCCTCATCTGTGGTCCCTGGCATATATCATTCTTGAGTCTTGCCATAAATATACAGAAATGCCACACGGAATTCTTTAAATAACTCTAGTTTCTCTTTTTAAAAGGTGTGGAAGAGACTTGTGCTACCTCTGAGTCACAGTATAAAACTCCTTGGGGTGTGGGAGGGGGTAATCTGAGAGTCGTATGAGCTCTACTGTAAGGATATGGGGGCAATGCCCTAGCCAGCCAGCTCAAAGAGCTGGCCTTAAAGAAAGGAGGGCATGTTTTACACCTCCAGGCATTACAAAATTGCTTTAAAGTGATAAATACATAAAAAAGAAACAAAACAAACAAAACAAAAAAACACACCTCATCCCCATTGGTAACTTGTAAGCCTGAGGTGCCGATTCAGACACTTCTAGAACCCTAGGCAAAGCTGCTGGAGCTAAGACACTGAAATTTCTCCCTCAGAGACTGGACAATGTTTTGCTGACTGGGTGACGGCCCCCTCCACAGATAATCATTCAATTTGTCGGAGTCCTTACAGGCTGTCAGGTAAGGAGGAAACCCAAGCCTGCCGCTCACAGGCTCTTTCAAAGAGCAAGGTGTGCTGTGTCTACAAAGGTTACCAGAACAGTCAGGGTCCAGGGTCTTTGGGTCAGACTTCCTGCCCCGACTCAGAGAGAGATCCAGATCCACTTCCTCCTCTTCTGACTTTATCTCCACGTAGTCATCCTCGTCTCCTTCTGTCTCTTTGAAATTAGAAAAGTAGTTCTGTGTCGCTACTTGGGCGCTTAAGGGTAAATTTCTATTTACCACCAGAACTTTCTGTGAGTCTTGGAGAGTGAGGTCAGAGCGTTTTCCAGTGTCCTGTTGATGCGAGTCCACTAGGCCCGACAGCAAATCCTGTTGGCTTGCACCCCTGGGACTTTTGTGTAAATTTTTTTCTGTCTCACTTGGGTAGTTGATGGAGTCAAGAGATTTGTTTATCAAGATTGAGGAGGATGGCTGGGGCCTGCTGGCGGGCTGGGCTTTGCGACCCAGAGAGTTGTAAAGGTCCTGACAATTCTCTCTGTGGGGCTGGCTGACCACCACACTGCACCGCTGCACAGGGCCCAGCAGAGGGTCTGACACTTGAAGAGAAGGCACTGAACAAGCCGCCGACAACTGTCTGGGAATGCTTTGGGCGATGATCTCTAACGTGGGATATTTTGCCTGTGAGTCTTGCTCTGGCTGGGGACAGAAATCCGCTAATTCTCCGTTACTGTAGGGTGAATGCCAAAGCCAGTCCTCACCACCTTGCTGGGCCTGGGAAGGTGATGCTGGCCTGTGGAGAGAGGGTTCTCGGGTCCTCGCCCAGACATCCCTCTGAACTTTAAGGGGTGTCTCTCTGAACACGATCTGGTCATACAGTTGGGAATATTCAGCAATCCTGGCACCTGGAATGCATATATTGAAACCATTAAGTATACATTGTGTTATCACTACCTAGAAAGCTTAAAAATAAGGACATTACACCCTAATAGATGTATGTAAAAAACAGACAAGAGACTTAAGATTAAGGGTAAGCAGTCACTGAATACAATGCTAATAGAAATAAGCCACAGTTTAATAAAAACAGAGTTCATTTAACTTGATTGAATTTTACACTATTTTATCTGAATGGGTGTCCAGTGTGTGTCATGAAGCTTCCTTTAACCCGCAAAATAGTGTCAATGCTGAAAACAAGTCATTGCCAAATGAGAACACTAGAGCTAATGTCCTGATGTATAAAAATACCTCATGCCCACTAAAAGAACCAGGACCACAGTGCTGTAGCCACCCCTGGCTTCACACTACTCTTGTTCGCCCTCAAACAAATGTTCTTAGAAAAGCTGCCTCCTGGAGCTGTTCCAGTGCCCATGACTTCCAAATAGCCCTCTGCCACTGCTGCCTGGCAGCCAGAATACTGGAGAGTTCTTTCCTTTAGCTCAAGTAGGGACTAGCTCACATATCCGTTCCCATTCCTCCAAAGCCAAGAGCAAAAGCCCATGCCTCTTAAGCCACCGAGAACAGACCCCTTGCTCAAGCACTCCATAACGGAATGCTGTCTGGCACTGGCTTAAGAACACAACTTGACAGTTGCTTCCAAAAAAGCACTTGCCACCTTTAATTAAACCACAGCCCCTTCTCCACGTTGTCTGACTTCAGAGTGCAGGCATCTCCACAGACATGACCTAGATGGTGATACGCAATGGAGAACATTCTCCTGAGCCAGCAGGGAGTCGGTTCGGGAGATGCACCCAGCTGTGCTCTGGGAACACACTGGACATCCTGTGTATTGCTTGACATCTGCATGGCATCTCTCAAGGAAGCTCATCCCATCTGTGACAACCCGCAAATGCCATTATATATGATGGAGCAATTTACACGCTTCGTAACCTGTTGTTGCTATACTAGCCTTTAAATTTCAGTGAGGGATGCATTGAGTGGAACTTCTGCTGGTTCTTCAGCCTGCCTTCCTTGAAGATGGAGACGCCTCGCTATATTATGTGCTTTTCGCTGTAACCCTCCATCCTTTCTCCCCTTGACACCCCCCCAACCCCGCTCCCAGCAATCAAGGCAAGCCATCTGTGTAATGTCTCATTAGAGTTTACATTCAGATGCTCTGCGTTTCGGACTGCATTTTAAACTGCAGTTAAGGACAGAGAATATTGCTCAGAAATTTCTAGAAGCAAAAACTTGCCAAATTGCTCCTTAAGTGGTATAGTAAAGACTCCTAAGACCAAGTCAAATGCAGCAGCACCCCAGGGAATACCACCTAACCATCCCCTTGCATTGCAGTGTTCTGTGCCTGCCATTCTCCCCCAGCCTGGCATATTGTATTAACTATGAGAGCCAACCACGGGGAGCAGGACCTTGGACAAAGTCCTATGCTTTGGCTGGAGCTGTTGTATGCAGCCTGGAACTGATCTACAGCTGAACTTCCACAGAGTTCTAAAGAGATGACAATTTGAGGGAAAGCGGAATTAACGTGCAATTGAAACAAAAGCATAAATTTACCCATAAAGTTTGATTGGAGGACATGGCCCCTCAGCTAATGGAACGCAATGTGAAAATACTCATGCGCCACATCGTCTCTAAATAAAATGCTCCTTGTATTTCTCAGGCCCTTTCCCTCCCACACTCTCCTTATCTTTGCTTTGTCAAGCCTCACCCATCTCTCAAAATCCTCCACAAGCCCTAGCCTCCTCAAAACCGCTTCCCCAACTTCTTTCATAAGCTTATATGGGGCTGGAGGGATGGGTTAACAGTGCTGGCTCCACCGCCAGACAACCCAAGTCTGATTCCCAGAACCCACATTGGGCAGCTCACAACTGCCTGTAAGCTCCAGTTCCAGGGGATCTGACACACTTATCTAGCATCTAAGGGCGCCTGCATGCACACACACACACACACACATACATACATACTCAGGCACACACACATATAAATAAAATAAATAAAGACATTTCAAAAGTCTTATATGCATTTACTCAAACACATGCACTCAAAGGGGAAAACTACCTGGCTAATCGCCTCCACAGGCTAATTTATTATTGAAGGTAATCAATCTATGAGCTTTTGGTCTCAGAGAACAATGTTGTACATTTTGCTTAGGATGCCAGACTTCTAGAAGGAAACTGGTCTCAACTACTTCATTACATGGGTTTCTTTTCATCCTTTCCTTCTGAGCCTAGGACTTCAAGTGTATGGGCCTTTTCTGAGACCACCCAACAGAGTCAAGACAGTGTGTAAATCAAGCCACAGCAGTTAGATGGCCTTGGATTAAAATGCTTCCCATAGATAACTCCTACTGGGCGCTTTAACCTTTAGATGACAGAGAGGAGGGTCATTGATAAATTCTGAATGTATCTCACCAGAAGAGAAAACTCATCTGTTATTTCTTGTCTCAATGTTCCCAATGAGCGATTGCAACCTTGCAGGCTGCCAGTAAGGACAAGACAAAATTTCATAGCTCAAGCTGTGATTAAATAGACCTTGTTATCCAGATGCATGGGAAATGGCTGGCCACCACCATTGACATCTCCAGCCTAGGAAACCCAGGTCAAAGTTTGCCTACGCCTTTACTTCTGCTACTGTCCATATAGGACATACACATTATTATTACATGATGATATCAGGATTTCTCTTGTTCCCCCCCCCCCACGAAGATTCGAAAGTTGGAGTTCTTTTATCATCAAAAATTGAAATAATTCTTGTGGCAGGAAATATCAAACAATGCTGATTTCAAGACAGAGGAGTAGGAAAAAAATATTGATATTTCTGATGTTGCTCAGATATAAACAGAAGCATAGAACTGTGCTCTCCCTATATTACACAAAAAAGTTCTCCAGCCTATATGAAAACGTCACTCCAAGGAGTCAAATACTATCAGCGGAACAAGATGGTCACATGCTACAATAGGGCTCTAAAAGTTGGGAGCACTGGACCTGGTTGGGCGATTTCTAGGTGGACATGTGACCGGGGGCCTGTAGACCCCCGGGACAGAGTTCAATAAAGATGCTCGAGCGTTTCAGCAGGTGAATAGGGCGCTCTTCCTTCCGCACAACACCGAGAGCAAGCTCCTGGCAAAGTGGCAAGGCCCATGCGCAGAAGTCTGGAGAATCGGTCCATTCGATTACGGCGTCCTGTGCCCAGATAAACAAGAGAGAGAAAAGGAGTCATAATGTCAACTGATTGAAAGCCTAGTGGGCACAGGAAGTGGCCTTGATCACCCACTGGAAACAGGTCTGATAGACGGCAGGCCCCAGGGTTATGCTCCTGCCATGAGGGGGGAAAGACAACATGGTCACAAAGACCCTTTGGGAGGGAATGCTCCTCTTAGATGGAGGAAGATGTCCATAACAGCCTAGTAGCCCGGCATGTCAAGAAAAGGTCCAGATGCAAAACTTAGAAGAGATCTCCTGGGACCCCAAGAAGGAAGACAGAGGGATGAACCAGAAGGAAAAAAGAAAAGCAAACGGGACCCCAATCAGCAGCCACAATACTTCAAAAGTGGGCGAGAAGAATTCTATTCAAAGAAGTTGTAGGTTCCAATTCATCAGGCCTGCGGGGCTCGCTTCAAACAAGCTCAGAGTTTTGCATCTTAGTGGCTGGCTCATACCCCAGTTGACCTAGCCCTGCCTGTTAGTGGTGAACTGTAGTCTGCTGGCGTGCATACTCAATTCTTCACCAGCATCAGAAATATTAGTATAATATTTTCCCTGAACCTGGGAAACAATGGCCGGACCTCAGCTATTGGCTGAAATTACCGCTATGCAACTTCTCTGTGTACCTATGCTACCCCACTCCACCCCAAGTCCTCCTGCAGTTTGACATCAGTCCCTTCCTGCAACTATTAAATAACCTGCTTGCCAAGACGAGAGCGTTGGAAAGAGGATGTAAATGACTTTAAGATCGCTGTTGCTGGGAGGAAAAAGAAATGCATTCTAGCCTCTCTCACAGTGACACAGAAATCAATTTTTTTTTAAATTTGTTTTTGTTGTAAATAAGAACTCTAAGATTCTGTAAAACCCTTTAGGAACCAAGTCCAAGCCATCACTACTCCCTTATCTGGTAGGAAACCACTGAAAATGAAAACTTTTGATAATTAATGCTTTAAATTATGGCGTGTTTCCCCCCTCGTGGATCTCTTGAATTCATTTAGGATTTGGATCTCTCCTCCCCACTGTCTAGTTTCCACGGAGATAAAGAAGTCAAATCCAGAGAAAGGAAGTGAGTGGCTGAGCGGCATGGATGTGCACAAAATGTGCCTTGTCATGAGGCCCATTTGCTGACCCTGTTGATGCCGTTTGGTTTTAACTTTCATATTTATGGGGTTTTTTTTGTTTGTTTTGAGATGAGGTTTTTCTATGTAGCCCAGGCTGGACCCAGATAAGACCTCCCTGCCCTTCCTGCTGGGTGCTGATTATAGGTGCGCTCCATCACGTCTGACTTGGTTTCTGCTTTTAATTGGAAAACTGACTCTTTTCATACGCAGGTAGTTGTTTGACTTCCTTCCTTCCTTCCTTCTTTTTCTTTCTCTGTCTTCCCTTCCCTTCTCTCTTGTTCCTTCCCTCCCTCCATCCCTTTCGTCCTCCTCCCTCTCTCTTTCTTTCCAAACAGGATCTCACTATGCAGCCCAGGCTGGCTTAGAACTGGCTAGAATTCACAGATCCTCCTGTTTCCAAACCTGGAATTTTAGGCCTCGTCACAGGGCATGGCCAGGGTAGGGTTCCTTAAAATATGGTGGATTGTTGAATATAGATTCCAGGGGCTATGAAGTGGCTGAGTTGGAAGAGTGCTTCATTAGGCCCGGGTTCAATCCCCGTGCCATGTAAAACCAGGTGTGGGCCACCCACCTGTAATCCTAACTTTTGGGTGGGGGGTGTGTGTGTGCAAGAGGTCAGAAGTTCAAGTGGTTAGTGATACAGGGAGTCTAAGGCCAGCCCAGGCTACATGAGTCCCTGTCTCAAAAGAGAAAAAGACAGATTCCTAGCCCCAACCCAGAAATCAGTATCTGGGGATGAAAAGATTTCCTAAGGAGAGTGCCTCTCCTGTGTTTTCTTTTCTGCTTCAGTCACAGCTCAAGGCTTCTCGTGGATCAGTGTTTCGTTCTGCCTTCCAGGATGTCACACTAGGAAACCACTTATCTGTTGGTGTTCCCGATCTAAAAGCCCAGCAAGGCCCGCAAAGGAAGTCTGCCGGGAGACTTAAGCTTCTTGGAATCATTAAAATAAAATTAAAAAAGAAAAACCAAGTGAGATGGTGTTGAATGCATTGTAGCCGGCTGCTATTTTAAGTCACCATGTAGTAGTGAAATACGTGGGAAAAAAATGAATTGTAGTTTAGAAAAATGCATGAACATGGGGGGGGGGAGGCTGGACATAAAGGGCCGTGCCTGAGAGCACTGGCTGCCTTTCCAGAAGACCTGGGTTTGATTTCCAGAGCCCGCACGGCAGCTCACAACTGCAGCTCTGTTCCAGTGGATCCAACACCCTATTCTGGCTTGTGCTGGTATTGCATGCGTACGGTACACAGGCATACAGGCAGGCATACACAGATTACATAAATAAGTAAATCTTTAAAAGGATTCTTTTTTTTTTTTTTTTTTGTCTTTTCTAGTAGAAGTGGGCACTTCCGTTTCGTATGTGTGTACATATTTATGGCTGTGTATGCCTGTGTATTTGGAAGCCTGAGGCGCCAATGTTGAATGTCTTCCTCAGTTGCTCACCACCCTGTCTTCTGAGTCAGGGTCTCTCACTGAGCCTAGCCTGGCTTCTTACATGGGTGCTAGGGAACTCAACTCAGGTTCTCTCGTTTGTATGGCAAGTCCTTTACCAGCTGGGCCATCCCCGCATCTCTGGGCTGGGAGTGAACACTTTGGGGGGGGGTGCTTTGCAACAAACAGCAGCCCTATTCTAGCTGATTCCCAACCTCAGTGGTTTTGAGGTACACCTACTCCCCAACACACTGCGGATTCTTATGCGTCTTTCATAGGTTAAAGCAGATAGCTTCTCTCACATCTCAGGCTGCATTCCAGAAATGTTTTCCTAAATGTGCCAACTCTATAGTAACATTACATGTGTACCAAGCCCCAAGGCCCAATCATGCTAGTTTACATGACCCAACTGAAGTAAAGATCCGAGGGCCAACAGTGGCTTTGTGGCCTGTTCTCACAGGGTGTCCGTCCTGAGGACAGTTAGAATTGGGAAGCCTGTTCCCACACCTGATTGTCAGGAAGGAAGAACAGAGCTCGGAACATACCAATGGCAGGCCCTCCTTGTCTCTTCTCTTCCAAGATGGCCGCCAAGTCTTTGGGAATGGGCTTATGTTGACTGGCTGCTGGCTGCTCCAACTCTGGGCTTCTCACTTTCAAAAGCTGATTCGCCTTCTTAATCTTTTGACTGTACTGCCTTGCCATCATAAAGACCCTACTCTTGGTCTTGTCTGTGGCCTCCAACCCAAGGTCAGGGTTTTCTGGGTCTGCTTGGGGTAGGCTGTAGTTGGCTAAGTCATAGGGACTGTCCACAGGAGGCACCTCACTGGCCAGAGAGAGTTGGTTAAGACTCATGAAGGAGCCTTCTGTAGAGGTCAAGTCATCTTCGCGGGACCAGTTGGCCCTGCTAGCCCTGGCAGGCCTGCTTTTTCCAGGAGTGAGGAAACCCTGACTCCCAGGAAGGGACAGCATAGATGTGGCATGTCCTGCGTCTCTGCTCAGCTCTCGGGTGCTCTCGACACATAGCCTCTCTGGCACATCATCTTTGCTGACAGGAAATGCCGCGAGGAGACGGTCTCTCGCTTTGTCTTCATTTTTCTTGATGTAATTTTCCAGGTCATTCCAGATTTCATCGACGTCTTCAGACTGTTTGTCTGACAGAGCCTTATCGGTAATAGGTGGGTTACAGCGGGGAGTGTCGTATAACAAACTCAAATAGTCAGTATCAGAGGGCCCCTGAGGGTAAGACACATCGTCCTCACTGAACTGGAGGCTGTCCCGGGAGACAAATGGCCTCAAGCTGTCACAGCATGCAAAATCAGCTTCCAAGCCCAGGAAGGTATTCTTTTTAGGCTGCTTAAGAGTGCTACATTTGAAGTCCAGTGACGGTGGCTCTGGAAGCCCTATGGTGTCATAGATGTTTTCTTCCACTACTTGGAATTCATGTATGCTTTGGTTAGATGCCTCTTGAGCACTGGGAGCTGCCTCTTTCTTTGGGTAGAGAGAGCTTGTACTATGGCTAGCCTGCCTCTTTGAGAAGGCTAACTCTGGGGTGCTCTTGGGGCGCACAGAGTCTCTGGGTGATTTGGAAAAAGAGGATTCAGCTTCATCCCGCTTAGCAACCATTAACTTTAAGTCTTCAAAACTTATGTTATCATAGACATGGTCTATATCATCAATTGTCAACTCTACAGATGACCCAAAGGGAGTCATTCCTCCCTGTCCCCCTGGTTGAGGGCCATTCTGCAGTTCTCTCCTGGGACAGTACTGGGAGCCTTCACTGTCCCGAATTCTTGCTTCAGGAGGACATGTGTTGCTTTCGCCAGCACTGCTGGCCCGTCGGACAATCCTGTGACCGGAGCTGGCGATCTCGGCGGGTTCAATCAATCCCAGGTGCCAACTACAAGGGCGACTGGAAGTGTTCTCCTCACACAACCTGGTGGAATTAAGATCCGAGGAAGAAAAGGACGGGACAAACATCTGGTAATCATCGTCATCTTCTTCGTTGGCCTGTGTGGACCGCCTGACGTGGTGATCCGTCCAGAGGCTTCTGATAGCACCGCCCCCACGAAGCATACTGATAATGGCCGTGCTGGTTGGCTGGCTGTTCCTCTGGGCAGGAGGAGGTGTGGCAGAAGTCAGCGGGGAAGAGCCTTCCTCTCTAGAAACCTGAAGGAGACAGACACAGAGCAACTGAATTATTGCACCATAGGGAAGATGTAACACTGGGGAACATCACCACGTAGCTTAGACGGCCTTGTTGTTATAGGAAATGACCACTAGACATTGTTGGTTTTCAGTTGAGTCAAAGAGCATTTCGGATTTTTGACAAGGGGGCAGAAAGGGCAGGGATATTTATTTATTTATTTATTTATTTATTTATTTACAAACTGTAATTAGTTTTCGCGGTTCAGTCTATGAATTAGATAGATATCAGAAAACCTAGGCGCTGAAATAGTAACTTGCCTTTTCTGGTTAGTAGTAAGGTTAGAACTCCAACTTAACTGACTCTAAAATCTTTGCTCCAAAACAGAACGGAAGTGAACTATGGCAAGCGTGGTAGTTATCCATTGCATAAATGAGTATGCATTGGGGCCTACACCTTAATACCTGCTTGTATGCAAGACTCCATTTCAACATCTTACTCCTGATACCTTTAATAATTTCTTGTCCCATCGGGATCGCCTCCTGGTGACTTGATGACACACTTCAAGGTTTCCTTAAACTTGAAGGCTCACTGCAGAACTGACCTTAATTTATAGACTCCAGGCAAGGAGGCTTTGTTACAGGAGTTTAACCCACTGTTGAGATAATGGTATAACATTTGTTGTTGAAATATATTTAACTAATGCTTAGTTATCTGTTTGGAAGTGAATCCAGACGACCATGATTCCTAATCAAAGAAAACAAGGGAACATTTTGTCCCTTAGAGCCTTTCCTGATGAAGCTTGGCTGTCTAGAAAAATCCTATCTCCTGAAATGCAGTATGCCAAATGTATACTAAATGCAGCAAAAGCCACCTCCCAAGAATATCAGTGTGTGAGGAGAGCAGACTGGACTGCGGTTCTATAATGGGAACTGGAGGCAGGAGCAGATAACCCTGATACTATTCTGTACACGGAAGAACCAGCTCCAAAGAGCTGAAATAGTTAAGGCTTGTTCAAATTAAATAGAACCAGAGAGGGACATGTTTCTCGATTAAAGTTCTACAAGTAACCTACTGGAAATGTCAAATTAACAAGAATTGATCATCACTTGTCAGTCTAGTCACCAGAAAGAAAGTAGTAGACAGCACAAAAATAAAACTCCATCCTAACATTTTTCTATTAAAACATATAAAAATTAATAATTTCGTCTTATTAATTTTCACATATTCACATATGAGATATTTGCATATAGTTTTATTGCCTTTATAAATCTTAACCAAAATTTTAGCATCTTTTCTCCTTTTCCTTCATTCAGAATGCACTGATACTATGCTTATAAAAACACAGGTGGGGGGGGGGTAACTACTTATAATGAAGATGAAGTGGAAACATTGTATCCAGTATGTCATTCAGAGGCCTGATGAAGTTCTGAGATTAAGAAATAAACAATGTAGGATTAGTCACAGCATAGAAGTATGTAAGTCAGAAACCTCAATTTTACCAGGGCTAATGTGCCCATTTTTTCCCTCTGCTCTTCCACACTGTCCGTTCTGGGTGCTTATTAATTTGATAACAGCATCATTTATGGCCTATTTGCCTTTTGCCAAAGATCGTATTAGGCATCTTTAAAAATTATGTTATCGCATTAAGTCTTGATAATAACTTTTTTAAAGTAGGAAGCTAGGCCTGCTAAGGTAAAACAGCTATCAAGAGGTGTTTATAAATAGCAGAAATACATTTGAATCCAGCTTATTATGAACTTAGTCACTACAGACACAGGATGAGGGGTTCAGGATATATAAACAGGAAGAAATACTAAACTGTTGCAATGCAATAGGGCCAATCTGCTTTCACACTTAGGATGCACGCAACCCATTATTGTTAGGAGACAGAATTTTGCTAATGCAGCAGCACACTGGTAGATTCTTTATTTGTTTTCCTTGCATGGCTTTTGTCTTTCCAAAGTTTGATAGTTCTGAAGTGAACTTTCCTGGGTAACTAAGACAGAAAAGCTTTAACTTTAGCAGTTACTGGGAGGGACTTGGTGCCAGGATTCTATCACAGCTGCATTAAAGGCTAGGGTACTTTCCTTGGTGACCCAATTTATGCAAAGTTCAGAAAATAAGTTTCACAAGGAAAAATCAATAAAGTTATAAAGTTTCAAATGAAAACAAACAGTATCTGAAAAAACACGAGTGTGTCCTAGAGTTACTGAAATCACCTCCCAAGTCAAAGCTGCTTTTTAGACATTTGAATGTAGGGTTTGTTTTGTTTTGTTTGACAGGACCTGGAGTTAACTGAGAGCCTCCTGCCTCTGTCTTCCAAGCTAGGGTTTTTAAATGAGGATAAAGCCTTTATTAACAAGGTCACTGTTACCAGCACTTTCCTGCCAGCCTGGTCCCACAGCCATGTCAGCCTCAAAATAACGCACAGAGACACTGTGTTAGATATAAAGCTGTTGGCCTGTTACTAGCATTTCTTTTTGGCTAACTCTGACAAGAGAGAGGGTCTGAACCTCTTCTCTCACATCCTTTATCTTGACTCTTCTTTACTACCTCTCCCAGAATCCTCCTTGTCTCTTAGTCCCACCTATCTTGCCTTCCTATTTGTCAACCAATCTTAACCAATAAGAGAAACATATTTACAGAATGACATCTCCAATCAGGTCACTTCATCCCTGTGCTAACCTGTGGTGAAATGGGATTTGGGGAAGAGATGATCAGAGCCACACCCTTATAGCTAAGGAGGGTGTATCCTTACCCCTTACACGAGAAACCATGATAAATATTCTAGGAATTGTCAATTAAGAGAACTCATCAGTGGCCATATTGGAAAAATCACTTGTCAGGGTATCAACAGCTCCTCTATCCAGGGAATAAGCCTGCCATACAACTTCCAGTTTAGTTTCCCTTTCTTCAGTGGTGAGATTTTAAACCAGGACCTCAGACACGCTAGGCTCTTCTAGAGAATGTCTACCATCTCTTAATGGTTTGTCAGAGGAACACAAGCCCTATAGAGATACAACTTGACATAGCAAAGTTTCATTGTATCTCACACTACACCTGTTGCAACAGTGGGAGGTTTATAGTCTGAGTTGTAATTCTTTTCTCTTTCATGATGGGGTTCACCATGTTACCCAGGCTGATCTTAAACTCCCAGATTCACTCATTCTTCTTGCCTCAGTTTCCCCAAGTAGCAGGGACTTTGTGAGCCACTGCACCCACCTTAGGACCATAGTCTTCAAAAGGGCCCCTCATTCTGGTGACAGCCAGCCAGTGTGCTATGGGAAGGGAACTATACCCAGGAGGGTCAGGGCTGGCTTCAACCCTGAAGCGGTAGGTTCCAGGCAGTGTGAGACAGGTCAAGCTAGCTTTGAGTGAAGGTTACTGTCTAAGGGTGGTTACAGGTTCAGCGGGCAGACGTGGGCCACAAGAGACGAAATGGGGAGGGAATAAATTGAAACGAGTTCGCTTTCCTTAAATCAAGGGCAAGTGGCTAAAGCTGCAAAGTGCATAAGAATGTCACAGTGTAAGGTAAATGGTGACACTTCAGGCCGGGGATGAGACTAATAAGGGAGGACACTGAGGTGAAAGATGCCCACAGCAAACTCTTCATGGCCAAACTTACCTTCTGGATGTCATGTGCAGTCTCTGAAAAACAAACGAAAACGAAACATGTTTGAGAATGTAAAAGGTATCTCATACATAGGTAGGCATTCCTATTTTCCCATGGCTTGTACACGTATTGCTAGTAATTGCAGCTCAAGAGTTTCATGTCTTTTGGGTCCAGTTTTCAAACATATCCCTCACTTATCTGTTCTACATCCTCTACCACAGCAGAACCACTCTACATTACAAGCCAAAACCGTCTCCTGTCTCCCTGAGAGCAGCCGTTCATGGTAAATTGTTCCCAAAACTCCCTAACAAAAACATGAAAAAGAATGTCTGTGCTACAGGCCATGGGACTTCCCTGAAGACACAAGAATGCCTGCTTTGGGGCTTTAAATGAAGATGAACTCTTTATCCACAAGATCTCCTTGGCCCTGTCATGGAGAGGGATTTATGCAGGCATCTTACATTACATGAAATGCTAGTAACACGCATTTCATCTTTACAAGTGTTTAGGTATATAAGATTATAGAGTACTACTGTCTCCAGATATTCCTCTCTGAGGGGTACAGTTCAGTCTGGTGTTCATTTTTCCTGGGCCCCACCTTATTGCTAGGAATATATGTATAGATATATATAGCACATATATTACATATGTTATTACATGTTTATGGGTTCTTTTCCTCTTGCTTTTGTTGATAATATTCCTTTCTATGACAGATGTTAATTTTATGTCTGTCAGATATGTTGCAAATAACTTGGATCAGTTGACTGTTTTTGCAACCGGACCCTTTTGCTTATAGAAACATTTAATTTTCCTACAATCTGGTTGTCAATCCCCCAAATCTACAATGCCCCTATCATATTATTTTCTACATGGTTTGACCAAGAATGAAAAATGCAACTCTATTTTTGGACTCACCACTGCTCTTCAACACTTTGTGTGACCGTGAGGAAGGTTCTGAGGGGAGAGTAAAGCCAGCATTACTTGCAAATCAATACTTTCTCTCATAAATAAATTAGTAGCTTATTGGCATTTTAAGAGCTTGAGAAATGTTCTTTTTGTTTTGTTTTGTTTTGTTTTAGATGGGCTTCCGTGCATCTCCGGCTGGCCTCAGCTATGTTCCTGAGGATGACCTTGAACTCTTGATCTTCCTGCCTTCACTTCCCGAGTACAGAGATTACAGAAACAAAGATCAGAGGCAGCAGCCCCTTTTATGTGGAGCTGGGGAAAGGATCCAAAGCTTTGTGCTTGTTAGGCAAGCACTCTATCAGCTACGTAATATCCCCAGCCCCGAGCTCTAGAAAGGCTCTGTCCGATTTACTAAAATTTTCAGTGCTCAGAGATACTTAGGTGCAAGCAATTCCCTGTGCTGAAGTGGTGGGGGTAAACCCTAACGGGTCAGGAGTCATGAACAGAAGGACAGGTGTACATTGTCAACCCGCCAAGGAGCAGGACAAAGTCCGCAGCTTTCATTGCAGCCTATCAGCTGGCAACTTGTGATTTCATGTCTCGGGCTGTGTACCGGTACCCACGCTTTGGATCCCGCTACCCCTCTCTTCTCAGTCTGAGCTCACTGTTGTTTGCTAGCAACTCACCAATGACCTTTCTCCCCTGAGCTCCTGACCACAATGCCGTTCTCAGCTTATCTTGTTTTCATCCCCCAGTCTAGAAAGCTTTTAGTGAGCTGCCCCAAGTCGACAAGTCTGCATCCAGGCCTTCATCATTTCTCCTCTAGACTGGCGTGGATGCTGCACTGGGGGTGGGGGGATTCCTTGTCTATTTGTTCTTCACATGAAGCCAACTTCTGTTAAAGGCCTACACACTTAGAGATTAAATCCCTCCTTTGCCTTGCCATAGTCACACTTGGGCATGGCCTGCGAAGCCTCCATGATCAGGCTCGTATCTGCGCCTCTATCCTAGTCTCTTTCCACTGGACTTAGTTCTCCTCCTCCTCAGCTCCATCCCTCACTCCAGCCAGGCTGAGCTGCCGATGGTCCCGAAGCCTGTTGGCTCGAACCCTAGGCCTCTGCATGGATGATTCCAGCTCTCTGGCTCAACCTCACATCCCATCAAGGGTATCAGCCTTCGACTCCATGAAGCCTCTCTCCTTCCTGGAATCTCTTTGTCTTTCCACTCTCCTTTCCATCTGCATATGCCAAAGCTTTATCAAGGAGCCTGCTATTTATTTATACATTTCTTTCTTTTTTCTGTTTGTCTCCCTCACAGAAGGGACTTATAAACAGAAATCATAAGTACTATTTATCCTGGTATCCCTTGCCTATAGTAATGCGTAAAATGGACTTTGTAAATACTCCTTCATATAAAACCAAGATTTGAGAGCTAAGAGAACACTGAGCAAATGCTTAGCAAAATGTAAAGCTTGAATACTCTTGTGTGTGTCATTCCAAGGAGTACTGTTTCACAGTGGCCTAAGGGATTCCATGCCAATGGTGAGATTATGAATAAAGCAAAAGAAGTTGGTTCATACATTTTATTTGTTTGTTTGTTTATTTGAGACAGGGTCTCACTGTGGTGCTCTGTCTTGCCCAGAACATACTATGAAGATCAGGCTGGCCTCCAACTCATTGAGATCTGCCTGCCTCTGCCTGGGATGAAAGGTGTGTGCCATCATACCTGACTGGTTGACATATTATATATTTACTGGGAGTGAGTTAAGTAGAGAGGAATTTTAAAGAAAGGCTAGAGGGTTTTTGCTTTTTTGGTAGCCTTAGATGTATTGAACCGACAAGCTGCCAGAAAATGCCTGTCAGTCAGAAAAGTACCCACTTCCTGTCCCTTGGAGCATTAAAGTTCCATATCAACAGCAACTTTCTGCTTACCAGATTTCCTCCTCTGCCGATATGGTGCAGAACCTTCTTTGGAGCCACATGGTGCCTTCATCTGTCCCTCGGGACTGTAGCAGAAACCTGGATGGTCTGCAAAGAGAAGGCTGTGTTGACCATGTATGACCATGGAGGGTGGCTGTAATTTTTAGAATGTTGCGCTACATCAGAAACACCAGTAATTCTCAAGTGATAAAGTTTCCTGTGGATGATTAGAAGGGACTGCTGTGTGTGTGTGTGTGTGTGTGTGTGTGTGTGTGTGTGTGTGTGTGTGTGGTGGAGAGGAAGAGTCCTCCATTGAGGTAGATCTGACTGTTTTAGACCTGCAGAAACTGTGTGACTAGCCATTGAGTGCATCACAGGTAAACCAGGCAAATCAAAGTAGAAATAGGCCAGCATCTTAGGAAGGGATGAGCATGTCTGCTCCAGCTACTAGGATGGGGTGAATGGCTGCTAGTTTCTCATAACTGACATTTTACAAGCTTTGCGGTAAGAATGTGATAGACAGAAATGGACAACAGCATCTTCTGAAAGCAAGCAAACAAACAAACTTACGGATGGCATCCATTTCAAGTATTGCTTGCTTGGCCTGAAAGAGAGAGAGAAAAAAATGTAGATATAATTGAATTGTTTATCCCCAACTTCTCCTTTAAACTACCAAGCGTGACAGAGATCTTATCACACTGGAATAAATGAATTAAAAAAACATAAAAAAAAAAAAACCAACCCTCACTATTTCTTTTAGGCATTAACACATAGTTTAGGGGCCTCAAAAACTATCCTCGCACAATACAGCGAAGACTTAATGGTCAGTTTTTACTGTCACCTGGACAAGATTTAGACTCACCTGGGAATAGTCTCAATGAAACACTGTCTAGAGCAATGGTTCTCAACCCTCCCAACGATTTGACCCTTTAATACCATTCCTCACAGCTCACAGTGTTTCTGTTTTCCCCCAAGGTAACAGAATTTAATCCACATACACTATGCTATAATACCTAAAATGATTTTGTTCCTAATTTGCTGCAATCTATGATATCATGCCAAACTATTTGGGCTGAGTGGTAATCACACATAATTTAAAAAATAAGGACGGAGGCACAGACAGAAAAAGAAGTTAAGAGTTACCTAAACATTTTGAGAAAAAATAGTTTATACTTGGATTTCTATTTTATATTTGGGAACTTGAGGTTACTAGTTGGAATTATTTTCAAACACAAATGGTAGCTTAATCTCTGGAAAGTGGCTTTCTAGGTCCACGTTACTATTTAAAATGAAAAAGCACTTACTTCATCTTTATGCTCAATTAATTTGTCTCAGTTTAGGTAATGTATGTATATATACATATATATGCATAAATGGGGCATGTGACTGGTCCCGAGAAATTCCCTAACAAAGTTAATCTTAAGAAGACATAGTCCCCTTAAGTCTTGCAATTTTTTTCAGGAAAGAATTTTCCCATGCTGTCCACTAGGTGTCAGCTGAGGACCGTCAGGAAGCTAGAGGTCTGGGTGGAGTTTGGATGAATCATCCATCAACAGCTGTGTTGACATTAGAAGCTGGGGTTACACCTGTCTTATTCAAAGTGTCCCATTATACATTTGTTTGATTTCATAGAAATAAATATATTTTGAAAGCTTTAAGAAAAAAATTGAATAGTCTTGATAGAACATCTGAAAAAAAAAACCTTCATTTAATAACCCTATTTAAGTAGGACAAGGAATTATTTTTAATGTTATAGTGGATAAAGTGTATTAAATAGGTTCATTTTCATTTATAGAAGGGGAAATATGGTTTAGAGGTGATTTGAAGCCAGATTTTGACTTGGGTTTGAATCTGAATTTGGCCATGCACTATTGTAAAATGTGGACAATTTACTTCCTGTTTCTGAACCTCTGATTTTATTTCTCTAACATAGGAAGAACATGCCCCATCTCTAAGATATTTTACTGAGTGTGAAGTAAGAATACAGTATACTAATCACAGTATATATGTGCTCGATAAGTTGTAAATTAAAAGCCATTTTAGGTTCTAAGCCGACTAATAATTTGGGTGAAAAGAATAATTGTATTGCGTTTGTATTAATTGTTTTTAAGCACCAAGGGAAAATCGCCAGGGATAAATACACAGAACAGAAGGAGGAGGACAGGCATGTGAGCTGTCTCATTTGGTAATCGACTATAATTGCCTTTCAGAATCTTGTTAGGCAATTTGATTTCCCCAGGATGCTTGTCAACAGTAGGTGGGGCATATCAAAGACATGGTGCCATCTCTCAGAAGGGCATTGCCTCTGAGTAACCGTGAGAGAAGGCAGTCACTGTTCTGCATGAGTTCCCTTGTTTCTCACATGATTGACGAAATGAAACCCTCACTTTAGTCTAAGCACACACCGCTGTGCAGTCATTTCCCGAACATGAAACCACCACTGGAGACCGGGCTGAAAATGTTTTCAGAACACGTAGGAGGCAAGCTGAGCATACTGGGCACACCTGTGATCCCAGCACTCAAGAGGCCAAGACAGGGGGATTCCAAGTTCAAGGCTGGCCTATCCTACATAGTGAGACCCTGTCCCAACCAACCAACCAACCAACCAACCAACCAACCAACCAATGGCAAATTTCTTCTTTCCCAGAATGCCTTCCAATGTTTCCTACCCAGTACTGCTCTTATGATGACTCTGAACCCATTTTCTGTTCTATTTCTCTTTTCTTGGACCCATCACATACATCCCACCATCCCCATAGATGGCTACTCACCCCTTCATCTTAGGCATTTGCTACTTTATTTCTATTAACCATTTCCTCTAGTCCACAATAGTAACATGGCATCAAACCCATCCTAGAACCTGAACACATCAGAATTGCCCGGCTTTCTGGGTAGGGTACTAGGAACTGTGTTCAACTACAGATTCCGTAGTTCCCGATGAACCAGTGGACCATAGACTGGAAGTCTCTTCTCCACTCAGCTAGGAATCATAGTCCCTACAGCTACAGGCTCATGAACGTGTGCCTTTTTTTCTTGCTGTAGGAACCTTTTGCCCCTCCAACTGCCACCCTTAGGGAGGAACTCATAAGTGCCACAGTTCCTTACAGCAGTTTCCACGTTGCTAAGCAATTTGTCACGACACCATCACAGCAATTCACGTGGAAGCCTCAGGTGGGTTGCTGGTGCCTTTCACAAAGGAGCTGAGTCACCTTGAGTAACTAGACCATTTCTTTAGCAATGTGTCTGACCCTCTGCACTTTCTCATACCTACCCTGCCTCCGTTCCATCCCAGGGGATGACTTCATCGCCCGTACCATCCCATCCTAGCTGGCCCTCCATGCTTTCCCAATTCCCCAGGGTTCCCCTGCTCAGTTTACCCTAGCTCAGGGAAGATGTTTGCAGATCTACCTGAGCACACCACCTCTGTGCTTATGGCTCTCCCCACCAAGGGGCCTCCCACTCCTAATCTTCCCAGACAGCTGGCTAATCCACACCCTGTTTTCCACCCAGACGGCAAGCCTTGTTTTGACCGAGCTGCCCTCTGCACTACACCTTTTTGAACTTTGTGAAGAAAAAAAAAAAAAAGCCTCCACCCAGCCTGTTTCTCATTTCTTTTCAACCCACTGTGAACACTCCCCAACCCACATTCTGCATCCGTTCTGACTCCTCAACGAAAGCTCCTCGTCTGTCATCCCCACCCTCCTCCCGGTCCTCACAGCTCTCTCTGGCTGGCTTCCAAGCACCCCTCCCCCAGCACACGACTTGCTGGGATTCCCAGGAGTCCCTGTTTCCTTTATACATTCTTGTGGCCCATCCTGTCAAACTACAGGCTTTCAATCACTGCTTCTCCTAACCCTGGACTGGCAGAACCTGAATTTCCACCTCCATTCACCCTGCCAGAGGCTCCTCTGCGCCCATCTAACCGGTTAGGTATCCTCTGCGAGCCGGTCTGGTTGACTCCCAACCGCAAGCCCTTCCTGCAACTTCTGACTCAAGCCCAATCTCAGAGGCTGACATCTGTTCCCTTAGCCTGGGCGACCTGTCTTGCATCTGTTCCCTGTGTCGCGCTCCACAGGCTACTTGGCTACCTTCCACGGCCCCAACCTCACCTCTGCCCTATCTCCGGGCCCTTTGGTCCCAACACCAGCTGTGTTTGGTGAGCGGGGTGTCATTCTCCTTTGTGTTTACTTGGTTGTCTCAGCCTGGGTCCCCTCCCTCTCCCCAACTTCATAAGCACATTCCTCATCCTTCAGGGAAACAGGAGGCATTTCCCTCCCTCCCCCCACTGGCTAGAGCTGAACACTTAGTCCCTTTGCCCCAGGCCACCTGGCCTTCAGCACAATTGTTTCCCTATGTCCGGCACCCAGATCTGGGTTAGGGGGGCAGCTTGCTCTCTCCTGGTAAATCCCTTTCCCGCCAAACTGGGCTTGGTTTCCTGCTGTCCCCACAGGACCTAACACAGCCTCTTGAGGCTCTCAGGCCTCCTTAGAGGGGTTCCGGTAATGGTAATTTCTATTAGTTGTCTTCAACCTTCCTTATAGTCTTTCACTTATTACCACCTCCCCACCCTTTATTCTCAAGAGGGTATAAAAAAGAGTAGTTAGCAACATTACCTCTAAAGTAAGACACATAAAACTGTACTGGATGCCATTGACACTCACACACACACACACACACACACACACACACACACACACGCACGCACGCACGCACGCACGCACGCACGCATGCACGCACGCACGCACGCACATGTATATAATCAGTGTTCAACCTCTGAAATGCGTTTGTGGACAGGTCATTGCTGGGCCATTCTCCTGCCTCAGACTCCCCATTGCTGGGGTTACAGGCTCTATTTTGAAGCCTGGCCTAGTTGGACTCTTTCTACCAGCGTGACCGCGTGCTGACCGACTCCTCTCTCTTACCTTAGCTGGGATCTTTGCTGCATGGTTCTCTAGAATCAGTCGCTTCAGGTGCAGAACCCAGAGGCGTTTGTCTTGCTGGGACTTGGCCTACGGGAGGAGATTTAAATACGGAGACTTGAGATGGTGGCTGGCCTCTGCGCACCTCTTCCATGGGGGTCCTAGGAGAAATCCGCCCCTTACCTGAACTGTGTGTTGCAGCTTGGGGTTCTTGTAGTGGAAGACACTGAAGCTGAGCGGCTCCTTCGGTATAACCTCCACAAGCATGAGGTTGCCACACTGCAGCAGAGATCACAGTGGGTCAGGCACCCTGCCCGCGACAAGCCACCCCCCCCCCCCGGCATTTCGTGTCACCCCGCGAGGACCCACCAGGATGTGAGCTTTGTACGTAAATGTGTCATCCCTCTTCTTTGTGATGAGAAGCAGCTTGTCCAGGAGGAAGAGTGTCCTCTCATTCTTGGCCCTCTGGATGCGGAAGGTCCCCTCAAGCACCAGCTCCCCGTAGCTGGTGAGGTCTGGCCCCTTCCAGTTGGTTAGCAAGCTCTGGATCTCCTGAGAAATGGGAAATTGCCTCGAATTAAACACCCGGCAAACTGCAAGGCATCGCAGACTCAGTGGCCCGTCACTGAACCTCAAGGACAGTCACTGACATAAGTCAATATTTATGGGGCAAGGCCGCAGTTAAGGGTTACCCAAAATGAATCAGATTGCTAGTTGCTGGATTACCAATACCAGGCAAACCGTCATTCCTTAATAATCCAGTGTCATGGCCGGCGTCGGCAGCTAGACCCTTCAAATATTTCACAGGGAGGTCGCAGTGTGGTGCCAACATAGATGGCACCTTCCTCTGACCTTTCTCATTTCTTCTCTATGAATTAAAACCCCCAAGGTTCAACTTGAGAATGTTCTAGAAACTGAGGTCATACCCCTCACCAGTAACTCACACCCAAAGCCTGGGTAAAACCATTTTCTCAGGACTTTCCCAACCAGGAGTTCATTTATCTAGACGGCAAATGGACATGCCTTTGCTCTGTCTTAGTGCTTTCAATGTAACTTAGAAAATATGAATAAGTGGATTCACTGCACATTAAAGTTTTAAGGAGGCTGATCTCATTACTTTGAAAACTGTAAATATTCACAAGTATTACTGAATTAAGAAAAGTCACAAGCAGTGACAATCTTCACCAGGAAGCCTGGCATGCAGTTCAGTAGTAGAGTGTTTGAGTAGTTTGTGTAAACCCCTGGTGGGTTCATCTCACTACCAAACATCCAATCAAATAAAATAACTCCCCTTGGCTACAAACAGAAATGGTAGGCATGGAGTAAAGTTTGAGCCAGGGTCTGGTTTAGTGGAATGTTCGGAATGACACGGTGTGAAAAATCAGCCATTTTGACTCTATAAATGATGTCTGATATTTTATATTTTTTTTTCATTAAAAAAAGCCCCACTTGAATGGTTAAACTTTTTGTTAATGCTGGAAAGAAAAGTAAACATAGCCAGGAGACACGGATGGAGTCATCTTCTGACTTTTGACAGTGACACCGCTCCAAACACCGATGGCCTGCAGGTGAGGTCTCGCCTTTTCTTCTGACTTCCGAGGGGAAGAACACGCTCTTTGCTGCCTTGAGACAGCTGTGGGTTCACTCCACACCCCTCTCGCGGTTCACAAGTTTGAAACTAGCTGCTGGGCCACATGCCGCTTTTTCTAGATTTATTTTTACTCTCTATATATGAGTGATTTGGCTGCATCTATGTCCGTATGTATGTACTTCACGTGTAAGCCATAAGATGATGTCAGATGCCCCAGAACTGGAAATATGGACAATTGTGAGCCCCCATCTGTGTGGATGCTGGGAACTGAACCTGGATCTGTAGTGAGATATCCACTCCGCCCGGACCTGTAGGGGAGAAAGGCTAGGTCTGGGGTCTCTGACCCCAGCTCGGCGCTAGTCAGGTTTCAGAGAGCATCCGGGTGGCATCTGTGGAGTGGGAACCCACGGAGGTCATCTGTTTCATGTGTAAGTGGATTCTCCCCAGAACAGACTTCCCTTAACCTAGTAACTGAGTCCGGTGAACCGTGATTTCCCATGCATTACGGCTCCCCTACAAGAGCAGCAAGCGCTCTTAGCCCCTGAGCCCTCTCCCCAGCTCCTTGTGTGCGAGGGCTTATCTTCTGAGGAGTTTAGGATATAACCAGAAGTTCCTGCAGGGGTCGGGGGAGGTCCCTGAGAATTTGGGGTTGATAATTTTGGTGCTGGGTGGACCTTGTCAAACCTGTCACCTGTCACATTTTAAAGTTGAAGAGATTAAACTACTGTGACTGAGCTTCGTGTCACAAGCGAGGAGCTGCTGCCGTCTATAGCCTTCCTGTTGTGCTACCCGCCCTGTGACCACCCTAACACCGTATGGCATGGCGTCACATAAACCAGTGACAGAGGAATAGGGCTTTAAGAGTCCTTAAACAAGGCCGGGCGGTGGTGGCGCACGCCTTTAATCCCAGCACTCGGGAGGCAGAGGCAGGCGGATCTCTGTGAGTTTGAGGCCAGCCTGACCTGCAAAGCTAGTTCCAGGAGGCTTCAAAGCCACAGAGAAACTCTGTCTCAAGCAAAACAAAACAACAAAAAAGTCCTTAAATAATTTAGAAGAAATTTGCCTTCACCAAACATTGGAACTGACTTTTAATGATAACAGATAAAGTCAAGCCTTGGGAGGCTCATATTTAATCAGGGTCATCAAAGGAACTATAGGAAAATTATTTGTTTAAAAGTGATAAATTTTGTCCTATGTAGCCACTTTAATCCATGGTCAGTATTGCCCATGCCCTGACCCGCCTTAGTTCAGGGGGGATTATACAAGAGGGGCGCTACTCATGCAGCCCGAATATGTGACTGTTAGATAGCCATGTGTCAGAGCACTGCCTGGGAACCGTCACCTGGCTCACCTGCAAGCGCACCGCATGCTCATGCTTCCGTTTCATGTCGTTGATGTGCCAGGCCACTCGCTGCATCGTGTCTATAGCGTCAAGCACAACATCGTAGCCTTCTGTGTCCTTGTCAAGGTGATTTTCTATTTCCTTAAAAAAGAAAAAAGAAGAACAAGAAATCTGTTATTAGATTTCTTTCCCATGTAGTCAATGAAGCAAATGGCTTCTCTAGATTATTTCATTCGTACATATGATGGGCGATGTCATTCTGTAAATATGTGTCTCATACTGGTTAATGAATAAAGCACTGTTGGCCAATAGGAAAGCAAGAGGGGCGGGACTAGGAGACAAGGAGGAAAGAGGAAGTAGGAAGGAGAGTCAAGATGGAGAGTCTGGGGAGAGGAGACTCAGGCCCCATTCCATGGTAAGATAAAAGCACGTGGAAATATTAGATTAACAGAAATGGTTAATACTTAAGACAGAGCTAGCCGATAAGAAACTAGTACCTGGCCAACAGCATTATATCAAATACAGAGTCTGGGTGTGTTAATTGGGGCTGGCGCAGCGGTGGGAAAAGACCAGCGGCGGGCGGAAAAACCATACTCCTTACAATATATATAAATATATATTATATATATATATATACACACATATATATGATGAATATATGTCCATGTCCACACATATATAATTCATTTATGTAGTAGCATCATTCCTTAAGTAAGAGATAATTTTACCATAAATACCTACCACAAAACAAGAACACAAAATGGGCAGGAATAATGAGTACTGCCAATATAAAGGGTACAGACCCTGCAGTAAGCCGCATGGAGATATGCAGATGTAGTTGCAGTGCTGGCGAGAATAAGAGAGCATTTAGCAATATAGTTCTCATTCCCAAAGGCAAAATCTTTTTTAAAAATACCTTATATGTAAAATTATATATTAAAAATGCATTATGTATATTATTTAAAATATAGATAGCGGTCACCCTGTGTAAAGTTCAGTGACAGAGCATGTGTTCAGTATATACAGGCCCTGGGGTTGATCCTCAACACTCAGAACCAGAGATGAGAGAGAAAGAAACAGACAGACAGACGCACACACACATACACACACACAGAATGCTTTTAGCAAGTGGATTTTCATGTTGTCACTTTGAAAGCTCAAATGGCCATCATTCACAATGTTGAAAAGCTCACGGTGTCCAAAGCTTAAGAGTGGATTCTTTGATTGTCAGGGCAGTTTGCGTTACCATTCATCTTACCACGGAGTTTTCCATCCCAGGGAGGAGAGGGGCACTATAACCCATCATGATTCTCTGCTGCTCCTATGTCTCCTGGACCCCTGAAGAGTCCAAACAGAGAGACCACCACTCTTTTGCTTCCTAATCTTCTCCAGTAATAGGCAGTGAGTAATAGGCAGATGGTATCAAAGAATGTTTTTTTTCCCCTCTTTTTTGGTCCTCTGAGGACCAAACATAGGGTCAGACAAGTGTTCTACCACTGAGCTACATCTCCAGCTTCAACAAATGCTTATTAATTTGAAACAATATTGTCTTAAAAATAGTAACCTTACATAAGTACAGTGAGCTTCCACACCCATGGCTTTCACATCCATGGGTTTAGCCAGTGGAAAACTGAGAATAGCTTTATCTTCCGGAGGATAGCTGTATCGACAGCTATTAAACTGTTTGGGAACAACAACAACAACAAAAACCCTACACTTGCTCAGTGCAGATCTATTCACTAAACAGTGTAATACTCACACACACAGAGCTTACATTGTGTTAGACATTATAAGTAACTTAGAGATTATTTAATGCCTAATATATGGGGGAATGTATGTGAGCAATTTGCAAATAATTCTGAGTTTGTTATTTTTAAAAAACAGAGCACACAGAATAATAGGTTTCACTGTGGCATTCTGTGCTATTTTGTATAAGGGATTTGAACATCTGTAGGGTTTGGTGTGCAGAAAGACTTGGAATCAATCTCTGGAGATACTAAAGGGTACAAGATCAATAGTTGTAAGCAGTTAGTCATTAGATGCTTTGTGACATCTGTCACCCATCATCTTAATTCTATTACTTCATAATAACACTGTTAAAAAATTAAATATTCACTTTTTTTTTCATCTAGCTTGACCGTGGGGAATCTGCATTTTCTTTCCAAATTCTCAGGCTCACCTGTTAAAATACCTTAGAAAAATGTTCTGCAAAACCAAGGTCAAGACGAATCCCTTCTTTTAGCTAAAGAGTCAATTCTGTCTATCAAAAAATGGACAGAGAAGCTCAGGGGATGGTCCTGTGAGGATGCAAAGGTGTGGCTTCTCTTCAAATCGATGTGAGCTCTGGGGGATAATCTAAGCTTTACAGAAAAGTAAAAGCACCTCAGTGGCAACAAGAAGATAACTTGGGATGAATCAGTTACTGTTCTTGCCTTATTCCTTCATTCACAGTCATTTGTAAATATCAATTAAGCTTTTGTAAGGACCTTGATTACTCACAGGAGCTGAGATCTTGGCTTTCTCTTGATTGACAGCCACCTGATTCTCTAGAAGACTGATGTCTTCTATGTCATATTAACAGAGTTTAGCAGAGATGGATTCTGGGGAAGGTGTTTTAGTTTGGACACTGACTTAGCAAACTTACCCCACTAAATCTAGAAGGTCATTAGGATTAAGTTAAAAATTAAGGAACTATCTCCAGTGTGGCTTCATAAGAAGACAAACAATTCTCCAAAAAATGAGCTACTTAAGCAAGTAGACAAAGGCATTTTTGGTAAAACTTTACATAAGTGAACTCAGCAAACCAGAAATGACTGCCCAAGTTAGAAACCTAGAATCATTTCAAAACAGACACCACACAAGGTCAACAGTCACGCCACCCTGAACATGTCTGATCTTGTCTGATCTTGGAATCGAGACAGGGTTGGGCTTGGTTAGTAGCTGGGTGGGAGAGATACCAGGCATGCTGATAAAACAGAGCTTTACTTGAAATTTGTATTTGTTTGTTTGTTGACTGATGGGTGATTGGTTGAAGGAGAGTCTCAAGCAGCACAGGCAGAGCCCAAACCCTTTGTCTTGCTGAGGATGACACCAAGGTCTTGATGCTCTTGCCTCTACCTCCAAAACTCCTCTAGGAAAAGATCCTTAATCTAGTGCACAGAATAACAAATTACAAACACTATGCCATTTTAATTGAATGGCTATGAGCCACAGCCAATGTGGCACCTTATAGGATTGGGAGGCAGACAGGCTTGCCTCAGGGCTCTGTACCTCAAGCCCACTGTTCTGGCTTTCCCCGCTGCAAAGCTAAGCAAACCCTACTTGTAGAAGGCAAATGATCTTCAACAGAGCTTTCTCCATCTTTCCAAACATTGTTAAAGGATAGGAGAGGTGAATCTGACATCTATGGCCATTTTCTTCCTAAAGCCTTCTTGACTATTACACAGGTAGTGGAAACCACGAGAGAGGACCAATAGCCCGAAGTGAGGCTAAGCCCCATTCACAGATCCTTCATGGCCCTGCTCATCTGCCCATACCCTTTTGAGCACTTTCCTTTTCCTTTTATATGAGGGTCAATCTATGACAAACAGTTTTCCCTCCCAGCTGCCTACTAAATTGGGCTTCATGGACATGAAGGAAAACAGGAAAAGGAATCTGCTTTTCATTTAGAGGTTTGCTCCCTGCCTGAAACTGACCCTGTTTCCAACACAAGGCATTCCTCAGCTCCATCACTATCCAATTTCAAATTAATCTTTCAGCTTGGCTGTTGTGGATGGGGCTTTAACCCTAGCATACAAGCATCTCTAATTCCTCAAAGCAGTTGTAAAGCGTTAGTATAGAGAATGTTTCCATACGAAGGCAACATTTTCTGGCATCGTTCCCCTCTACCCCCTCCCCCGCCCTGGTTTAATATACACACTCAAGCCCCCAACTCTTGGCAAGAGTTCTAGCACAGGCTGAGACTTACATGGAGAAGGAGATGATATTTGAGAATCCGCTGAACTGGTTTTAAGAGATAGGACCCTAGGGGCAGTGAGTGTTTCAGAGTTTCCTGGCGCTCCCGGAAGAACTTGGCCAGTATCTTGTTCCTCATGCACTCGGTTAGCACGGCCACAGACCTGCAAGAGAACACATGCTTTCCATCATGATGATGCCATGTTTTACATGGGTGTTAGAGGTTTAATGCTGGTGGGTCGGTCGGGCTTGGCAGAAATAGCCTACAACAGGCAGAGTAGCCTCAGAGCTAGCTCTTGACTAGAATGCCTTGGGGCAAGTCAGAAAAAGGTGTCCCTTTTGGATAGGCTGGGTTAGAAAAGGGAGCTCTCAGTGACAGAGAACCATGTGCCCTGGCTTTGAGGACGCACAGACCCACGCCAGGATACTGTAGCTTGACAAGAAACATATGCATTGGATTTTAGCCGCTACATGTGCTCCATCCAGATGTCTTTGTACAGTGCCCACGGTGCACATCTGGATTTAGTTTTCACAGGTCAGGTTACAAGGCACAGCATCCCTGATTTAAGACAAAACAGTTCTTTTTTTTTTTTTTTTTTTTTTTTTTTTTTTTTTTTTAAGCACAGACTTAGTCTCCTATCTGAGCATTTGTTACCCACCTCAGATGGCTTGTGACATGTGCCTACTCTACTTTTCCAAGAGTTGGTTTTTCCCAGAGGAGCCCTGAATAGATGCCCCCTCTTCCTGAGTTTTGGTAATCTCACTGCAGGGGATCAGAAAAGGGGGGTTGAGTCCCTTTTGCAGTTCCCAAAGTAATGCATAGCCCCAACACTTCTCAAAGCAACAGTTGTAAAGGTACTTACCCATCCCACATCAAGCTACTTATCACACGGGTGTGCAAATTAAAATTCTGATGTACTATAACTTGAATGCAGGAGGGAATCATTTTATTCTTTTCTTCCCCAAGTTTCTGCCATGTTTTTAGGATTCACTGAGACAACCAGAGGGAGCCAAACAACAGAGTAAGACTCCTTGGAACATCTTGTAATTAAGCTGTTGAATCCCTTTGTGCTATCTGCTTTAGAAAATACCAGTTTAAAGGGATTTATTTCTCCTTTGAGTCCTGCATTTTAAATTCTTCATCGTATGACCTAGGCATTTCTCTGAAGTCTTTTGGAATGAGGTGCAGCTGCTCAGTAGCCTGGTGGCTGACTGATGGCCTGATGTCTTGCTCCAGATCAGAATCTGTTACAAATCAGTGCATATGGCACTCCATGTTCCCAGAAAGCTCCGGAATAGGGCAGGCATCTGAAGACAATGGCATGACCTCCTTTGTACCTGTCCCTCGGGGAATGAGGGAGGGACCTCTTCACAGTGAAATCCCCAGGCAGTGATGGGCATGAAGGAAGAAGTCACTTGTCACTGTGTTAGCCACATTTATAACCACCAGCCTGGGGCTGAAGCAGGAGAAAAATCTTGGAACCCTTGGCTTGCTAAGACAGGGATAAGGACATCTCAAGTCGCTGAGCAAACTGCCTACAAATAGGCCCAGAACTATTTCTCTGAAGATACGAAATCCACACATTGGGCAAGAACTGGACATGCCTTCTTTATTGCGAACATCCCTCTGTTAACACAGATCTCTTTAAAGGCAGACTCCAGATGAAGATACACAAACTCGAGCACACCGTCCTTAACTATCCCTGCTGGGGCTGTTTCTGGTTCCCTTACTTCCACTACCTGTTACCAAGCCCATAGTATATTAATTTCAATTTAGGTATTATTTAATCTCCACAATTATACTATTTTATTGGAATATGCAACTGGGGCCTGCCCCTCTAAAGCACACGGGCTTGAAGGCAGGGATGTTAGGTCCTGGTCCCTGCAGAGCTACACTAAACATGGAATAGTGCAGTGTGAATGACAGGTTCTTAAGATCTTGCACACACGTTCGCTTTGCCAGGGTCCCCAAAACAGCCTATGATGGCAAAGCATACTGCTTCAGCAGTGAGTCAGGAAAACCTCCTGAAGCTCTGATTTGGAAAAAGTTTCTATAATGAAGTTATGTCTTTGGATGGTAGAGGCACAGTGAAATACACATGGACAGACCCAGGCCAGCCCCTCTGACCATCAGACCCAGCTGATTTGTTAGTTTGAGCAGCTTCCCTTTTGCTTGGGAAGAACTTGTGTGGAGAGGCCGTGGGCTGAGTCTGTGGGTCCCCCTGCTGCGTAACATTTTGGTTTGTGGGCCCTGAGATTCAGTTGACGTATCCTATAATTCACACAGTATCAGAAAAACGCATGCTTAAGCATAACCCTGCAAACTAGGGTGTGTCTATAGAAAAGGATATGACAGATGCTTGAACACGCATGCACGGTGTTTGTCTAAATAGGAACCGGGGAAAAGCACAGCCGTCCGTCCAAATGAACAACCGTGCTATCGCATCTTGAACCCCGTTTACAGGAGAATAAAATTTTACCATGGGAAGTGGTTGTTAAAACTCATTCTGAACTTAAGGCTTCTTACCACATACTCGCCTTTTAGCAACTCCTGGGTTGCAGGTCAGGGGTGTTTGCCCTTCCTTCCCTCAACAGCTGCAAGGATTCTGCTATCTACTGTACTGTGGACCACCTCTGCCAAGATCGACCAAGAATGGGCAAGTCCCCCTGGTCCTTGTTCCAACTGGGCTGCAGGAGCCTGCTGATCATTGCTTCACAGAAAGCTCCAGAACTTTATGAAGCTATCATGGTGGATGGCCCAAGGCTGGAGCAACTTGGCTGACATCCTCACTGGGCCGTTCATCAGCTACAGGACCCTGCAGAGTCAGTTTGCCATGTGTCCCTCAGCAGAGTCATCCATAAAACAGGAAGAAGGAAGGTGGTGGTGGATTTGCATTCGATGAGACTCTTGGGTTTCTGGCACTGAGGTGGGTATCCTGTATTCCTTTAATCCCTGTGCATGTTTAATTTAGCATTTGTTTTTATAGCTTTCAACACTGCTCGGAATTCAAATGCCCAATAAATGTCTCGTGAAGAGAAAAGAAATGCCTAGAGTTGTATGTAGCCTTGTCTTTTGGCTCTTACTTAGCGATAAGTACACTGTCCAGGCTGCTTCTTGAACGGCCCTCCCACCACCATTCTTAGATACGAGCAAAACTGAGCCAACAGCCCTGGGAGGCTGGAGGCCCCTCTTCCTCAGGCTGACTGTCTCTTCTGAACTTTATAAAACTTGGAAAACTCATAAAGCCTACCAAGCAAAACCAGAACACATTTTCTCCCCAGCTGTGTTACACAAATGCACCTTCAAAATGTGGCACAGATTAAAAAAGGCTAACAGAGAAGTAGATAGCCCTATGCAACAACACACATGTATCAGTTTTCCTTTGGCGCTATGCAGTGATGTTCCTGGTCTCATTTTCCCTGCTCCGGCTCCAGAGATCCTCCCAGCCCAAAAGGCATCAAACAGTATCTGAGATCCTCCTCATCCATTCTCAGCACTTTGCATTTCCCATGGTGTTCAGCACAATGCCAGGCCCAGGGCCCGCCACTGCATCTAATGACTCGAAACAACCCGAAAGGGAGAAGAATTCTACTCCTTTCCAAGCCATACCTTGGGTAGTTGGTGCAGTACTGGGTATAAATGTGGAACTCTTCACTCTATGAGGAAACAAAAGAGACTTACATAAGGCCCAGAGCACAGACGACAACATTCACAACACAAGAAATAGCAATCAAGCTTTTACTGTTCCAATAACATTGCTCCATGACCTGAGCCCATGTGACCATCACCTGTGCCCACAGCTCTTCACCCAGAATCCCCCACAACTTGAACTCAAGTCCAATAAGCACTCTGAACAGCTGCTGTGTCCCAGTGAGTCTGGGGGCAAACAGGAAGAGATTTTGCCCCAAGGTGCTTACTGAGATATAAGTAGGATAGATTTAAACAGCATATGTTGGAGTATGCACAGGAGACCAGAGAGCTGCTACATGCACTCAAGCCCTACATATGTAGCTCTCTCTCTCTACCAAAGGCCATTCCTGTTTTTCTCACTGCAAAGCCACTTGGTCTGCCTTGAAAACGAGTCCAGGCTGCATTTCTTCCAAACAGCTTTCCTTGAGCTTTTGGGTTGAGCCAGCCGTTTCTATTTGTGAACATTCACCCTACCCATCTGTCTAGGAGCACCGACCAAATGATACTTATGCTTTCTGTTTATCTGTGTGGCTCACCATAGTCAGGACAGAGGCCACATTTGTCCTCCTGACAGATAATACCCATCGACCCCTCTCTCCTACTAAACATTACTTGAGGGCACAGCCCTCAAGTCTACCTACCTGCACACACCTAGCACAGCAGCCATGTCCCAAAAGTAACGAAGGGTTGACTCGCAAATGGACCCCCATCTCACCCTACCTAAAATCTCCACTTCCAAGCTCTCTTAGTCCCCCTGCTGTGAATTCATATTACAGGAAATAATACACCGACACTGTCTGATTTGGACAGTTCTTTAAAAAGATAGGGTCCCAACTCCATGGAAACACAAAGCAAGCTTTGTTTCTTATTTCGCCTATTAGTGAGGAAATTAGTGAGGTCAGATACTACAAACTGGATCAAAAGAGAAAGAAAGCGCACACTTAGATCACTGAAGAATGGCACGGATTTTTGCAAAGAGATATGAAACTGACTCCTCCCTTCTATGGACTACGGTGAGGAAAGGACACAATTGTTAAGTCATCCAGGAGGACTACTAGTTTGAGGTCAGCTTGGACTGCTCAGAAAGACTGTCCAAAAGAAGGAGGGAGGGGGGGAGTCAGGGAGGGAGGGAGGGGGAAGAGCGGGAAGAGGAGGTGAAGGAGGAGGGAAGGAAGGAAGGAAGAGAGGAAGAGGAAGGGAGAAGAGGACCGGTCCTTCCAGTCCCTCTGCATCCTTGTGGACAAGCACCGTTTGCACTACTCTCTGTTATATAAAACTGGTAAAGCTGAAGACCATTCTCTACTTTCTCAGGGGAAGGAGCACGGAAATACATCCACGTTCTGTGTTTGCCCTTGCATCTCATCCCCGAGATACTGTATTACGTATAGGTAAGTTTTGAGATCTGGAAACATCGGAGATCTTTCTGGACCTAAGCATTTGGGAAGAAGGTGACACTAGCTGTCCTTAAGATTTGGAACTCCGGGTCTTAATGAGTCTGGAGCATTCCTGCTTCCGGGTTTCTCCTGGCGATTTCATTTCTCAAGGGCACTAACATCAGTAGTTCTTGCACTGTGCCATACTGCACTCTGTAATTTTCACAGGAGGACAGGGAGAACACCACAAACATGTGTTGGCTGTATTTTGGCCACCACACATTTTCCAAACCAATTAGAATTTCTTTTGCATGGCCACCTACCAACTTCATGCACACCGTTTTTGTGTGTGTTTCATCATTTTGCTCTTGGTGTATAGAGCCTGCTTCTTAAAGCCTTCGTTGGGGCTTTTGAGTTATATACATGCAAATCCAGTTTTACAGATAAAGACACACTCAGAGAGGTTAATTCGGTCTGTTCTATTCTAGGTGATTCCTTCCTTTCCTCCTGTTTTTGTTTGTGGAAAGAGAGTCTCATGTGGCCAGTGTTGACCTCAAATTTGCTATGTACCTGAGGATGGCCTTGAACTCCTGAGTCTCCTCCTGAGATTTCAGTATCCATATCTAGTTCCTGTCTCCTATTTTTTTTTATAAGTCTTATCAGTTTTTAAACACAGACATCCCTTTAGCAGATAAGCAAATTCACATCGTAGGAATGAACTTGAGTGGATTTCGTTGGAAAGCTTATGAAAACAGTTTGCTGGACCGAGTGCCAGCTTTTCATTATGTTGGTTGCACTCATTTCTAGCAAGCTCCCTGTGGTGCTGATGTCAAAGGTACAGGGGAACCATGCTTTGAGAAGGTTGTGCCGGGCACACTTAACCACCTCCCCGAGCCATGTATGGAGACATTCCTTATTTGCTTGCATTGTTCCACAATGCTCCATTATTTGGTTGAATACACAAAAGATCATTCAGGCAGCTTTTTGTTTAGATTGTCTGTAGTCTTTGGAAGATCAAGCATCACTGCCAGACGTCATGTCAGACTTGTTGAAAATTTGTCAGTTATCTATGAATAGCTTTCTGGAAGTGGGACTGCTAGGTGACAGGGTAAATTCCAATTTTTAAGGACTGGATTTGGCCAGATTCCTCTCCATAGCATCTTGGCTAATTTGAATCCGTTTCCTTACGACCTAAACAGCATTTTAAACCTGGCACCACATTTTCCAATAGAGAAGTTTACAATTCCTAAATTAGTTGTCTACTTCTAAGCATCGGAGGATATAAATAACTAGAGTTTGGGCTTCTCCTGACAAAGTACAGGTTCCATGGTCCACAGGCCTACAGATTCACACAGCAAGTACTATCCTATGAGTTTGGCATACACCTGACTCCACCTGGGAGAATATATATATATATTCAACATCCCCTAAGCCTGTTAATGCTTAAATGTCATTATTCATTGTATGATGCCAGCCCAAACCCTTTTAAAGATGCATTTAGAAAAATGCAGTATACAAAACAGATATTGGTTTCTAGTTATTCAGCTCTTTCAGATCATAATAGCCAGAGAGTATGCAGGAATGAGGCAGTTATGCAAACAGTAGAGCTATAAGGTATGGGTTGCTGAACAGAGCACACAGGACACCCAGCGGTTGCTGAATGGGTGACAGAGAAAAGACGTCTGTGATTGTAGTGCTATTTTTTCTTATTTTACAGGGACCCCAGTGCCCTCTCCCTCCCACTCTCTCATCCCCCCCACCCTGTTCCCTTTACCCCCTCCCATCCCAGTTCCCCCACTCCATAGGGAGGGTGAGGCCTTCCAGGAGGGATCATCAAACTCTATCAAGTCATTTGGAGTAGGCACTAGGCCCTCCCTCCTGTTTCTAGGCTAAGGGAGTATCCCTCCATGGGGAATGTGCCCCCAAAGTCCTTTCGTGCACCAGGGATACATCCTGGTTCCATTGTCAGAGGTCCCTTAGACTGCCCAGGCCTTCTAACTGACACCCATGTCCAGGGAGTCTGAGTCTGTCCAATGCTGGTTTCCGAGCTATCAGTCTGGGGATCCATGAGCTCCCTTTGTTCAGGTCAGCTGTCTCTGTGGGTTTCTCCAGCCTGGTCTTGAACCCTTCGCTCATCACTTCTCCCTCTCTACAACTGGATTCCAGTGTTTAGCTGTGGGTGTCTGCTTCTGTTTCCATCCACTACTAGATGAGGGCTCTATGATGGCAGATACAATAGTCATCAATCTCATTATCAGGGAAGGGCATTTAAGGTAGCCTCTCCACTGTTGCTCAGATTGCTAGTTGGGGTCATCCTTGTAGGTCTCTGGACATTTCTCTAGAGTCAGTTTTCCCTTCAAACCTATAATGGCTCCCTCTATTATGACATCTCTTTTCTTGTTCTCCTCTATTCATCCCCCAACAATCTTCCTCGTCCCTCATGGTCTCCTCTCCCCTCCTCATCTCCCCTTCTCTTTCTCGTAACTCCCTCTCCACTCACTACCTCCCCTCCCCCACTGCGCTCCCAATACGCTCAGGAGATCTTGTCCCTCTCCCTTTCTGTGGGGGACCTTGTATGACTCTCTTAGGGTCCTCCTTGTATCCTAGCTTCTCTAGTGGTGTGGATACTGTAGGCTGGCGATCCTTTGTCCTATGTCTAAAATCCATGTATGAGTGAGTACATACCATGTTTAACATGGATTTTCAACACTAATCATTTCTTGATGATAATTCCGTCATGTGGTGTTCGTGTGTGTGTGTGTGTGTGTGTGTGTGTGTGTGTGTGTGTGTGGTTTGTATTTATGTCTATATGTGTGTGAGCACAAATGCACTTATGTGCGGTGAGTATTGGTCTCGTCTTCCTGTGTGGATGTGGCCTCATTCTCCTCAGTTACGGAAGAAGAAAAAGAGTCATGGGAGGTGACCGAGCACAGAGGAGAGAAAGCTAAGGGGAACTCGGAAGTCATGCAGTCTCGCCTTCAGCTAGCTGTCCAGAGTAAACCGTGCTAACAGTCTAATGAGGGACGAGCATGAGGGTGGCTGAGAAGGCAACGTGGGGACAGACTCAAGTCTCTCGAGATGCCTCCAGAGCCCCGAGTACAGATCAGGATACACGGGGCTTCAGGCTCAGGAGAGAAGGCTTACTGTTGTCGCTCAAGCCAACCGCCATCCTTATTCTTCTGGAAGCAGTCAGTGAGACGAAACAGTTAATTTTTCCCCCTTTGGCTAAGGACTTCCTTAGCCTACACACACCATAAAGTAAGGCAGGCCAAAGATGGCGCTCTGTGTAAGCTCCAGTGACTCCAATAAAAGCAGAAGTCAACCTGTTTTGCTAATGACCTCTCAATTAAAGCAATTTTCCGCTCCTCTCGGAGCAGTCAGAGAAACGTAACCTCAAGTAAATGTCAGGGAGCTGAGTGAGAAAGCCCGGCACACCCTCCAGCCTCCTGCTCCCATGTGAGCGCGCTGAAGTCGGTCTTCTAATTAAACTTGGCAATATTACAATGAAAAATGAGATCTGGGAGTTGGCAGGGCGGCACATAAACAAACTTTTATGTGAGTAATTAAGCCGGAGTTAAGCGAACACTGGAACCTCTTTAATCAGCCTGTGATTACGGCCGGAGTAAAAGACCGAATGTTTTCTGAAACGCCAGTGTTGCTCATGTGCACATCTTCGAGACGCTCGGCCTCTCTTTTTGTTTTTATACGTTTCTCCTGTTTTTTTTTTTTTTTTTTTTTTTTTTGTCTTTTTCTAGTTCGTACCCTATAAGAGAATCTGTTACAAAGAGGGCAGCTATAGAAAAAAAAAACTTGTGCGAGGAAGCATGTGTGCACTGTTTTACATGGGAACGCATGCAAAGCTGTAAAAAGACAGGAAGGGTTATATACAGGCCCACTGATTGCTGTTTAGAGATTTTAGTCAAATCCAGAGAGCTGTTGAGTTTGAATCCCCAGCCACTTGGACGGGTCTGTGGCCATCAGAGCTAGCAGAGGCTGGGGCAGTATCTTAGTTCACCTTGGGGCTATCAATGAGGTGCTAATTGACGGTTGGTTTCAGAGCTTGGCTATTAACCTGCTTCAACCTCGTCCCCTTCAAGCCTTCATGCAGAAATGACATGGAGTTTCTCTGCAAGATAATTTCTTCCAGATGTTTTCTAGAGAAAAGCTGTTGCGTCTCAAAGGGAAACTTGAACGAGACAGGATTCTGTGTGGACTGCCCAGGGTAGAACAGAACACTGGCCCTGCAAGTTCAGAGCATGAACTTGCTAATACCCATCTTTGTGTCAAGCCCATGTCTTGCATTGACACATAAGAATATAGGAAACTCAGGGCATGTTTAAGATGCAGGAGGTCAGGTTTGCTGTTTTCTATCCCTTAAAGGATAACAGCATTGACCATGCAAGTATGACACATTACACACTCAAAACATGTAGATTCTTGGGCATTTTTAGAGTGGATTTAGAGGTATGGTATATGAATCTTTTTTCCTTCATTCTGGATTCTCTCCTCTCAAACTTTAAGTCTTTCCAAGGAAAACAATAAATAACATTACCCAACTACCATACAAACTCTAGGAATACTAGCACTAGCACTAACACCCACCTTTCTTTCTCTATATTCTCTATCACACACACACTCACACACACACACACACACACACACACACACACACACACACTAAAAACAAAACAAAACGTTCATGGTTAGTTGACTAGCTTAACTCAATATTGAATAACCATTTATCCTAACTTGAAAATGAAAGCAAGTTGTACACACTGTCTGCCTCGGTTGACTCTGAAAAGTGAATGGTGCTTACCTTGGACACAAAACATTCTGCTATGGCCACAGGATCGTTTTCACAGTTTTCCAGATCTTGAAGAAGTTCACTAACAAGACAAAACACATAGCCAGGAAGTATTAGATTGGAGTCTGCAGGTTGAGCACATTTTATGGAACTTAAAAATGTAAGCCTTCTTCGTGGCATTTACAAGGAAACAGGTAATTTGATCACAGAGAGTCTATTGCCACTGTGTCCAAGTTTTGGATAGGAGTTGTCCAAGAGCTGTGGGTGAAGCAGGAGTATAGACATAGACGGGCCAGTAGTTCTTCCATCAAAGATAAGCCTGCGTAAGAGTTCAGTTTCCCAGACATCTGTCACCAGTTGCCAAAGTTGCTCATACACATTCATCTATTGAAAAAGAGCTTGGGTATCCATGCAGTGCATGCGTACGCACGTGCGCACGCACACACACTCACCCACCCACCAAGCAAAGTGGGATATGCTCCCAGTCTCAGTAAATTCCTGATGTATTTGAAGAATAAGATGTTCAAATCACACAAACAAAATTATCAATAAAGGGAGTGTTTCAAAGGACAAGTTCACCACGAGAGGAAGATTCTCTGATTAACATAACTTACTAAGTTTTCATGGCAGGACCATTATGCTGTATGGCTACCTATTTACTTAGCCATTTAAGCTCCCAATGTTGCCCGAAATTCTGAGTGGAATTTCTTGCTCACTAGATATTCTTGGGGTAGGCTATACATTTAATAAAAAGACAAACAGTTCTACGGATAAAATAGTTCTTTGCTTTGTACTTCCAATTCTCAATGGCCCCTGCTAAGAAGTGTTCAAGGTTCCTTTTGGATCAGGTCCATATTTCTAAGCACTCTGACGATGACAGGCTTATATTGTTTTATTTTTGTTTTCGGTTTTAGCTATTGGTTCCTTCTTCATTTTCTTAAAGTCCCACTCTTACTCTTCCTAACCCGATATCTTTTGCAAGCTGACTAGATTAAATGTTCCAAATTCACATCCTTAAGACAACGAGAATGCTATGGAAATAATGTCCCTCGTTTAGGTTTAGCATGCACCATGATTTCTTTTCCTTTCTTGTAGAACCAGGATATCTCTGGAGTTTAAAATACTTTGTTTTAAGATTGCCAACTTGTTTTTATACCATCAGGTATGAGAGTAACAAAAAGGTTACTCTCTGCACAGATGGATTTAAAACAAAACAAAACATGGTTATGGAAAAAGGAGATATGTTACTCCATAGAGTACTATAACTTAGTATTTGAAAAAGAAATTTTTTTTTTAATTAACCTTAAGCTAGGCAGTGGTGGTGCATGCCATCACTTTAGTCCCAGCACCAGGGAGGAAGAGGTCAGCCTGATCTATAGTGAATTCCAGGACAGCCAAAGCTAGAGAGAACCATTTTTTGAAAAACAAAAACGAACAAACAAAAGTTAACCTTATAAGTCATAAGACCTTTATCCTTTCCATGTTTCCATTTGTTGGCAAGGCACACCCTGCTAATTTACTTCCAAATTGTGCGTGAGGAGGAGGAAGGTCAACTCACTGCAGCCAAACGTTTTCTCTGGTGTTATACTGTTGCTGGAGGGCATCCATTCCGGAGCCTCGATCCCCTGTTCCGCCTGGCATGGCTGTTCTCCAGCTGCTGGGCAGTTCTGTGACGTTCTTGGTGATCCATCATCTCGGTTTGCATTCTGTGTTGGGTACCTGGCTCCCGTCCATTTCCCATGGGTTCTCTCCTTTGCAGGGGGAAGTTTCTGAAAGCTTCTTGATGACGGTGACAAGAAGTCAATCCTCTGAGTAAATCTTCAGTAAATGCGCTCCCCTCACCTGGGCCGGTGATGCCATGGGGCAGAGGATACTTGGTTGGAGTAATTTCCTCTGGATGTTCCTGGAGCCTCATGAATTCAAATGCCGCTATTGAGAATTTAGTATCACCTTTCTCCCCAAATGGTGACTTTTTTAGATTTTTTTTTTTTTTTTCTTTTGAGACTCTGAGCTGGTCAGCTGTGGGTCTGGTCTCTGATCATGTACTTAGTGAGTTTGGATGTGATCTTAACCTTCAAGTATCATCTAAAGTTCCCTTCCTCAGTACACCCTTGGGATATTAATCCATAAAAATGCTCAGCTTTCCATTCCATTTTCCCTTGAGAATACAGTGAGCTTTGCCAGAGGTTCTATGACTTGGCTTGCCTCACAGAAACCAGGAGCTGACACACACCACGGGATGCTGATGTTTGCTATGAAGCTAAACAGTCAGGAGAGCTTCAAAACCGTAAAATGGTTCCCAAACAAACAAAAACACAAAGCATAAAGTCATCGAGTCACTTGCCAAAATGTGTGGGTTTGTTATTACAATAATATAAATTGATAGTTTAATCATTTCTGAGCTTTAGTTCCTAACACAATAAACAAAACATAATAAAGCCCAAACAAATATGATTGTGGGTCTTAACTACCTCCAGGAATGTAAGGGACCCTGTGACCAAGGAGTTTAAATCTTACTGTTTTAGAATCCCATGTTTGATATGTCTGTCCCTCTGCTGGTGGCTATTAGAGGTCCTGTTATTCCACTTTTGGATCTTCTGGTTTGATCGTTTAATTATTTTTTTTCATCCTTCCCTCATCATGTTGCTGATGTCTCTTTCTAGGAGATCTGAACTTTATTTCCCACCTATTGATAATTTCTTATTTCTACCACCAGACTCTTAAGTTGAGAGGATTTGGGGCTGGCTTTTGTCTGAACATGCTACCTGGATGTTGCTTTATGCTTCTGTTCTTATTTCACAAGTGCAAAATATTCCATTATGGAGTATAAGGATCTGATGGTGATGATGATGGTGATGATGATGATGATGTGATGGTTTTTCTGTTTTTCTTTATCTTCTGCTGAGTTCTTCAATGATTTTGGCTTCTGTCATCCATGCAAGAGTTATCCTAAGAAAACCTGGGAATCCTTATTTGTCTTGGATAGTTTTTTGTCAACTTGACACAAGATAACTTTAACTGAGAAACTCCCTCCATGAGAACGGGCTATAGACAAGCTTGTTAAGCATTTTCTTAATTACTGATTGATGGAAAGGGCCCAGTCTATTGTGGTGCCACCCTTGAGCTGAAGGCCCTGGGTGCTATAAGAAAGCAGGTTGAGCAAGCTATGATGAGCAAGCCAGTAAGTAGCATTCCTCCATGGCCTCTACATAGGCTTCTGACTCCAGGTTCTTGACTTGAGTTCCTGCCTTGGCTTTCCTGAGTAAATAGTGATTCATGATATGTAAACCAACCAACCAACGAAACCTCTCTTCCAAGTTTGTTTTAGTTATGGTGTTTTATCACAACAATGGTGTGGCTCTAAGACACCTCCAAGTGAGAAACCATAATGCTGGGAACCCAGTTTTACAGTGAGGAAATCACAGCCCATGAAGAGAAAGCTGCTTTTCTCAGACGACACAGATCGGAATTAAAGGCAAAGCTATGCACGGAAGGAAGCTATGCACGGAAGGAAGGTTCCCGAACCTTGCCTCTGCACTCCATCAGAAGTCTGGCTACCTAAGGAGGCATTTCCTCAGCAAGGTCAAGGAAGCTGAGTATGAGATCGCATGCCTTGGAGTTTTCAAAGACCCGCCTGGGAGGCTCATGGTGCCATCTGGCTGTCTTTCCTTTAGAGCCTTTCACTTGGATAACAGGAACACAATGTAAGTGAGAACGGTAGGGGTTCTTTCTCTCATGTTCTGGTTCTTTCTCTCATGTTCTTTCACTTATCCAGACAAAACTGTGTGCTTGCTATTCAAAACTGACCGGGAGAACTTCCGCCAGGCATGACGAGGAGCTCTGAGGTAAAGGAGACAAAGGGCCTGCTTACGATCCATGTGCCTGTCTGACCATAGGTGATGAGTGTTAACAAAACAGTCAACACCACATGGTGCCACGTGATCCGAAGTCAATAAAGAGAGGAAACTGAGGCAGGGTGGAATTGGTGGAGGGTTGGGTGGTCGGAAGTTTATTCTCTGAGGGGGTGATTGATATCCCAGGGCATGAAGAGACCTGGAAGAAATCATTTAAGAAATGAGGCCCCAAATGCAAGGCAGGAAGAGCTTGGTAGGGTGTTGTGTGAGATGTGGGAAGGCAGCCATGGGGGCGGAGGTTGGTGAAGAGTACAGAGTGTGGGGCTCAGGACGGCAGGTAACTGGGAGGGGTATCAGAAAGACTGTGGGATACAGCTGGGGCCTCGGTGCAGTAACCAGACACCAGAAACAGGACTGGCCACCGGAATTACATTCTACTGGGCCAGTGGCCATAGACATGGCCGCAGTGTAGCAGTGGGCAGCCAGCCAGACACGCCCATAAGGGACAGTGTCAGAGATCGCTTTCACAGTTAAAATTGGATTGCAGCCATCATGCTTTCAGGGTCTCGGTCAGCTCTCTTTTCCATGAGTAATTACCCTAAATCTGTCCTCTCTTTTGGACGGGATCATGAGCAAGAAAATGAGATCATTTCCTTCCTGAGCTCAGGCCTCTGAACTTGCCCTAGTGGAGAAATAGTGATAGCTTTGTTCTCTTTCACGATCGTATTATATGTGATACTTTCTCTGCCCGCTGCTGTGAACCTGTGTCATGGCTGCAAGGTGATACTGCTTTATGGTGAATGGGGAACAGGTCTCTCCTCTTCTGGCTGGCATAGACTCCAGGCAACACTTCCTTTCGCACCACATAACTAAGCCATTTTAATGTGTAGCTTCCAAAGAGACTCATGTGCATACGAGAACGCAAACTGCACATTAGGCGCACTGACACACTAGACTTGCTTTTTTGAGATAGGGTTTCCCTATGTAGCCCTGGCTGTCCCGGAACGCACCACGAGAAACATTAGTCTTGAACACCAGTTGACAGAAAGAAGATGGCCCATACAAAGAGCCTTACCATTCACTGTATAAAGCTGACAGTTACTGTGGCAGGTTGAAAATGTACTACCCCTCTGCCTTGTATATGTTTTGATGCATGGTTACATTACATTAACATATTTAGCTTGCTTTGTGAAGATTTCACTAGAGCAAAATTAATTACATGGTCCTC